AATCCGAACAATTCCTCAGAACACTCCCCATGATAAATTCGGTAGAAGATGCACAGAGATGCAACATCTCTGCGCAGTTTCAGTGAGTCAAGTCGGACAGTAAGGCGTTGACTATCAATATTTCGAGCCGCCCGACATTGAATGCGGTCTAACGGAAGGAGTTGGTACTGTGGCGCTCCTGCCCATAGGTGAGAACAGTACTTTATTTACTAATACACATGGGCAAATTCGCGAAAAACAGCTAGTGAAGAATAAAAGTATTTTCCATTTCAAATAACTATTAGTATTTCAATAAGTGAAAGTGTGTTCGTTTGTTACGTGTTGGCCCTTTAACCGTTGACGAGCAATTTGGTACACACACAGTGGCCGCGGAAAGGACGTAGGCCACATTTTATTCTGGTCACATCGGCGCGGGTAGTATCAAATACCTAATTTAAAAATAATACTTTGCTAATAAATGTTGATTTTGCTCCGCCTAAAAAAACAGCTACATCTTGTTATTAACATATGCATTTTTCAAACAGTTTCTGTTTTTAACGGCTATTCTTTTGAAATGAATTAATTTATTTATTTATAATAGCAATAAACAGTCATTTATATATTAACATATAATAATATAGTATACATCAAAGTTTAGAAACAATAGAGTTTTATAGTGCCAATAATAGTATTTTAAATATAGGGTCATTATTAATGAAGTCCCATGGAGATATGCAAGAAATATAATAACAAATCCAAACCACTACTTAAACTTTTTTTTTTATACAACTTAGAATGGCAAACAAGCTGACGGCCCACCAGATGGAAAGTGGTAACCGTCGCCTATAGACATGAGCAGTACCATGGACATAACAGAGTATACTGTTTCGCCCATGATACCCCCATGCGTTGCCATTCCTGAGGACTCAGGTGTTATTCCTCTGTACCCAGTAAATTCACGCCATATCTCACCCTTCAAACCGAAATACAGCCATGCAAACATGTTTATTTGATAGATTATAAAAATGTAATTACTCCTCTCCATCCAAAGGTTGCCTGGAAGAGATCGCTTTTAGCGATAAGGTCGCCCATTGTTTTCTCATTGTGATTATTTCTTGTAATTGTTTATATTCATAATAAGTTTACTATTGTAATCTTTTGGAGGAAACAATAAAGAGTATCTATCTATCTATTTATCTATGCAATTGCGACATCTATATCAATACATATCTGTATACAGTCTGTTTGTATCAATTTCACAAGGCATTATAAGAAGCGTGCTATCAGAGCGACTGGTACGATTTCTGTAAACACTAATTGAACTGGGCGAGGTGGCACGGCCCGCTTCCCACGCGTCGCCGGCCTTATTCGCGGACGGCACCGTTCGTCCTGGTTCGTCAAACGAACCAGTCGCGGTGTCCATGGTCGCGCCTCTTGGTTCGCGGGCCGCCTAATTAGAAAGTCGTACGTTTACAGTGGCACTTATTGGTACTTTAACATTAAGTATTTATTGAAATGAAGTAAAATGTAATGTAAAACGCTGTGGATAACTATAATTGGCTAGCGTGTAGTAATATGTATTCAATTTTGTAAAAAGCTGTGTGTTATCCTAAATAAAATAAATTTAATAATTAATTTAAAAAAAAAAATAATATTTACCTACTCATTACAGCCATATAGTGTTAAGTCCGCTATTTACACTTTCTATGTGTATTAAAGTTTAATAAATATATAAATGAAGACTTTATATACGCTTATGACATTATATTTTAAATCTATTCCACCCCTATTGAGAAGATTCAGGTGGGTACAAATGGGCTAAAAACTAGACTGTTACAAATAATACAAATGAAAAAGTGAAAAATTAAAATTAAGCAAAAATAGACCAGTCGTAGATAAGACCAGTGTACAAAGCACGAGTATGACGGACGAGCCAGCGATCATTGGGTTCAATCATATTATATTAGAGAGTCAGGGAGGCTACTGTACTGTCATATTTTAAAATAACACTTATTATTTGCTATCTTATTCAATTATATATCAGATTAAATAATATTTATTTATTTACTTTATTGCATACATTTAATTGTAATGAGAAATGATACAAAAGACGGCCTTATCGTTAAGCGATCTCTTCCAGACAACTTTTGGGTAGAGGACATTGAGAAAATAAATAAAAACAAAGGGTAGGTATATATATATATATATATATATATAGTGAGAGACTAAATTCGTTTGTTTACTTAAAAGCACACATACAACAGGAAAGAAAGAATTGAAAGTGTATAATAATACCTGTACTCACAATAGCTAGCTGCTTTTTGTCGTGATTCCAGATAATACAAATATTTATATTTATGTCTATTTGTATTGGTATATAATTTTACAAAAAAAAAAAAAACTAACTAGAAATAAATTATTATTTTATTTACAAACTGATTTTCCTAGACCAGTGCACCGCCATTTACTTTCTTATGTTTATCGTAACGGTTGACTGGTAGAGAATGCCATCAGGCATTAAGTCCGCCATGTAGACATATTTTAATGTGTGCAAAAATATAAATATATGTATACATACATATATGTACATATATTTATACATATATAATGTGTTAAGTTCGTTATTTAAACAAAAAGTTTATAGTTTAAAATAAATCAATATTTTTGTATATTTATTGCTGGTTTGCAAATTAATGACTACAAATTAATGACACTTTAAAATTGTTTTACTCTGTTTACATATATTGATATATATATAAAGCGTATATGAAGATTTCTTCAGGGTTGGCAACGCGCACGTGACACTCCTAGTGTTGCAGGCGTCTATAGGCTACAGTGACCGTTTACCATCAGACAGGCTCTGTGCTTGTTTGCACCTTCGTAGTATAAATAAAAATTAATGTTTAGCTTTACATTTGTCGAGCTTTGTAGCACAGTTGTAGGTGTTTTTTTTTTGATGGGTGAAAATGGTATGGTAACCCCGCCTGCGCTAACAGGATACGCTGGCGGAGCACTAGTGAAGGGTGATAGATGAGAACGAAAACAGGCCAGTTAGCCCATCATGATGAATTCACCACAGGTGTAGGTGTAGAGACGTTGTTTTGTGTAACTAACTTCCCGAGTTACGACTCTTTGTTGGGCCAATTTACGAAAAATTTTTTCCTAATTAGCTTTGGTCCAGTATTTAGTTATTGTCCCCATGTAATACCTCTGGTAATGCAGGCGTTCATAGGCTATACGGTAACGGCTTACCATCAGGTGGGCCGTATGCTTGTTTGCCACCTCAGTGGTACAAAACAAAAATGTTAATGTTGCAATGTTTCTCATAACACATTGTATCTATTATATTTTTATTATTATATTATTATTATTATTATATTATAGTTTAAAGTCTCGTCAATTGTAAACAAAACTTGGTTAATCTTTCATTTTTGAGTGTATTTAATATTTCAGCGACGATACAGCTGGTCGTTGGTGAATTGACGTCCATGTTAACTTAAAAAAATCTATTTGAAAGAAGTTTTGTTTCATAAGGCATTAGTATAGATAATTAGTTACAAGGGTTTTCACGTTTGCAAAGTTTATAGTAAGTTATTGCTGGCTGGCTAAGAGTAGATAGATACCACTGGAAATTAAGCAAATGAATTTAGTCTCTCACTGGAGCCTTGCTAATAATAGCATATAAATGCTATTACTGCGGTAAGTAAGGACTTTATAAAAAACTGACACATGTAATACCGAATATTCGAAAAATGCTAATAAAACAATGAGACTGTTTAATATCCCATTATTGGACAAAGAATTTTAATCAAACCTACAATTATGCAAATTTTTTTTTTTTGGAATTTAAAAGCAAATATTGGATTGTTCGATTTGAAATGAAAATCCATCAATAAACTTTTATTGACTTAATAAAAAGTTAATAGAGACTTAGGATATTTTTACTGTAACATAAAAAAATATGTATGAAGTAGATACGAGTTTACGTTAATCCATGTATACCTTCTATATTATAAGAAAGTTTTTCTTCTAAATGCCAAATTGTGATATGCCATGCTACCAGATATAAATTATACAACACAACTTAAAGATTTTCATGAAACCTAATAAGATACATTTATTATGTTATTTTTTTTTAAACAGCTGTTTTCTGTAGGATATTTATTCAAATTAAAATTTCAGTTTAAGCATCATGTGGTTATAAACATTTTGTAACTAGATAGTCAATGAGTGCTACTTCGTTTTAATTAGATTTTCGATATCAAAAGTATTTGCATTAATTTGAACAATTTTAATAATAATATTAAGCAGTAAATAGAAGGCAAAAGAGGAAGGGGAAGACCAAGGAATAACTACATGGGACAGATAAAAGAAACACTAGGTGTCATGTCGTATAGGGTGATAAAGGATATGGCCTGGGATAGAGCTGGCTGGAGGAAGATGCATGAATTAGTTGCACCGACAAGAGGAAACTCTTAAATGAAGAGAGAAAGAGAATAAGCAGTCAGAGGACTCTCCCTTGAAAGTATTATTTAGACAGCCCGAAACAATTATATCAACTTACGAGTGATCGTAAACAGTCATTGTCCGATATATTTTACGAGCTTTTAACAAATTTATCTCGTTTGTGCCTTTTAAATTGCCGATCGTTAATTGTTTAACTCATTACTTTCTATTTATTTAGGCTACTTGTATCTTGTATGACAATAGGCATTAAATTCTAATAAGCTTGGTTCATTAACCTCAGCTGTTCTTGGAAAGCATTTAACAATAGAATTATTATTTGTATGTACACTGGATTTATTGTTATTATTTTCAAAGCTAATAATTTATTATTTATAAATAAATTTCTTGAGTGTAATTAAATCTGTTTTGTTATTTGCTATAACAATTGATACTTTAGTCGGTTTACTATGATCTCCGTGGAAGGTATGTTCAGATTACCACCTCACACTGACTCGACCCATCGCAAATCCAAAAGAGCACGTTCGTTTAGCACTTGTACTTCGTGTACCACTCACCACAAACATAAAGGCGCTTAAGAGCCGCATCTCACTAAACTTTCACCGGACTCGCGTCAGACATTGTGAACACAAGCGGCCGAGTCCACGGCTTCTCACCAACTGGCTGGCTGACTTTCGCATTGCCAAGGACTGCATTAACTGCACTTCAAGGAAAGTCATGCACTTGTCGTCAATCAAAACTCGGGATAAGCAATTGTATTGGATTAACGGTCGGAACAGAGAGCTTGTTTGTAAATAAACCGTTCCCGAGACTACGTGTTCCGAGTTTTTATTGGTTTCTTATTTGTTTTGTTGACTTTTAGTGTTTACATTTATTTATTAGATTGTATTTTAGATTTAGATATGTTTTAGAGTTCAGAAAAATCACATATTCAGGGCGTAGTTTTCGAACATTTAAAAAAAAAGAGGTACTCAATTGGCTTGTATTTTGTTTTGTCGGATGTTACGCTGTATTTCATCAATTCTGAACTGATGTTGATGATTCTTGTTTTAATAGAAAGGCAATTTTGCATCCGCATGACTTAATTTTCTTTTCGGAAATTTTTTAGATTGTTTACTCATAGTAATTTAAATTTGATAAATAATGACAAATAATAAAAACAATGTGTTTTCTAATATTCCTTATTTGGATATCCTAACAAGAAATAAATACAGATATTAGAAGTAACCAAATAGATAATTAAGACAATAAATTAGTACATACTTATAATAAAGTAAGTAGATGTAAAATCTAAGAAAAGTTAACATGTTTGGATTTGATAAAATTTAGACTCAACGTCATTTGTAAGTAATTCTTTAACAAGATTTGCAAGTGGACGATTGTCTTCGTTCGCGCCGACCCGACGTTAATCACTATAATTATTTTATTTCACGCTGCCGGTGATCACATTGTAAATTCATACGATGTAAAAATTAGGTTCCGCTTGCTGCCAAGAAAGAGTGTATTCGCGTGAGTAGGTCAGTCGAGTAATCGCGTTTGCCAGCCACCGTCTGCGGGCGTCACTCTCTCTCTTACGCCGCTTTGCGTGGTTGGAGAGAGACGGGGCGTGATGCGCGTGCGCCGCACCGTTATCCCTCGACGATATCTTGAATGGAGATGGCGTTTTCTCCCGCACCAAAACAATGGGCGCGCGGTGCTAATTGACCTGCACTGCTCGGAAATCGAAAGGCGAGCATTAATTAAATTAAGTGGAGTTAATTTGTGTCATGTTTTTACATTAAGCAAGTGTATTGTGTTCACAATACACAGCGTGGAGCGAATACGGTAGCGTCTGGCCTGATTTTGGTGATACATACATCAGTATTCTACGAATAACTAGCAGTAGTTTGTAAAGTGTGTATACTGCTTAGTTATTCTTGCAAGTTGGTGTTCAACAAGTGGGTTAAACGTCGGAGTGTGATCATGTCTGACCTGTATCAGCTTCAGCAGCATCAACTTGTCTCTAGTCGCCATGGAAATTTACAATGATTTTTGTAATTCGTAAAATCTTTATTGTACAAAATTTACATTAAAATATTTAATATACAATGACGGACTTATCCCAGGAATCTTTGACAGTCAAATATTATTGTAGTTATATGTAATAATATAGGTGAAGCCGAAAGAAAACTATAGAATGTTCAAGGGTAAAAGCCGTACAGCTCAATAACACTTTTACCAATTTTATTGCTCTTGTAGGTGCCTGCACCCTATTAAGATTCTACAGCTTTCAATTATAGCACTTTTACCTCCGCTTACCTTTCTATCCATAATTACTTCACTTTATTCATTCATTTTTCTTAATCATACAGTTGGTTAAAAATTAATAATCTATCAGCTCTCCCAGACTGAGTGATTCAAAAGAGTAGGTATTTTTTAAATCTTATTAAATTCCGGATTATATAATAGTTGCTAATACAAGTTTTAGTAATGCGGACTACAAGTCCCTTTATTAGCAATGTACCCTGTCAGGTCGACCTCCACAGGCTCCCCTTTGGGAATCATTAACCTGCCTTTTAATCCTCACCTGTCATTCTTTACTGACGAGGTGCCATTCTATTATCAATCATTAAAAAAACACAACAGTTGTGAGAATATTTGGACATTGAAAGGGTTTTTTATCTAATTTAGAATGGCACACAAGCTGACGACCTACCTGATGTAAAGTGGTAACCGTCGCCTATACACATGAGCAGTACCATGGACATAACAGAGTATACTGTTTCGCCCATGATCTCCCCCATGCGTTTCCATTCCTGAGGACTCTGTTATTCCTCTGTATAAATAAATTTAAATATTTGACACACTGATAGACACTAGAAGAATTTTTAAATTAATACACGTAGACAAAACTGCGACTTACTGCTAATAGTTTAATAATAAGTTTATTTCAAAACAAATGTTACAAACATTTTTAAACAGGTGAAACCCTGCTCCCTAAATAGGTAAATCCTGTACTTTAGGACAAGCAGTGCTCTTCCCTGTACGGCATAATGACACAAAATTATATATAAACAAAAGAAACAATACAAGTTAAGGTACTAATAATACAGCAATAATACAATTTGTCCAAATAATATTTTGCAAGTGAATCTTGACTGTGTAATTTGTGAGTGTACGGAATGGATGAGTTATTGTAAAGTGGCAGTCGTAACCTAAGATACTGTTAATAATAAATCTTCAGTTTCATCATACGTCTTACTTAATAGACAATCACTAACAATTGTTTTGTATATATGTTTAGTTTTTGAATATAAATAAATAATAAATAAATAGATTTATTTTCTCTTCACAATTCATCACAGTGATATACAATGAGACATGTTTATATTAAAGTAATTAAATTATAAATATAATTGTGAGAGACTGGTGCCTGAGATAGGTATGAGAATACCTGTATTACAGGTCACCAGGGCCTCACTCGGCAGGCTTACTTACTAAGTACTTGTAATATAATAAGTGAATTCAATGTAATAAATACAATTTATAGGAAAAGATAATAAATTATAATTTAATCTGGAAGTTGTGTGTGCGTGCGTGTGTGTGTGCGCGCGCGTGTGTGTGTGCGCGCGCGTATGTGTGTGCGCGCGCGCGTGTGTGTGTGTGGGAGTATGTGTGCGTGTATGTATGCGTGTGTCTGTAGATGCATGCGTGTCTCTCGCTGTGTGTCTTTGTGTTTGTACGCATTCATATATTATATAGTTATATTGTAGTTAAAGATACCGCCGTAAGAAGTTAAGAAAGCAAATATGTATTTATACACGAGCCATTAGCAATAATGGTGGAAACCGTACAAATATTGAACGCAAATGCGAAAATTAACTTGTATGCATAGAGTCTATGTCCCACTTGTTTGTATAGATGTGTTTCCTTCGGCGATTGCAAGCTAGAAAGTCTGGTGAAACTACATTGGATATTGCCTGGTGGACAAATAAACTTGAATGCACTTTCGTTTTTCAATATTAAACTTTCTCAAGGAAAAAAAAACATTGTGGAGGCCATAAACAAACTTTCAAAATCCTTTATATAACCATCGAGTCCAATTAACATGTTTTTTTTTTAAATTAAAAACGAAACTACTTATATTCAAATAGTCTGATGTCATGTTATGTATGTCGTTACCTAATCAAGGCTACAGTGATTTTGCGTTCATAGTGTCAAAAATAAAATACTAATTTTTTACTTTTAGTATAATTGAATTAAAGGGAGACTTTGTACAAAAGTCGATTGCTTGGATACCTGCAAGGCTATGTTTCGGTTTGAAGGGTGGGATATGGCGTGAATTTACTGGGTACAGAGGAATAACACCTGAGTCCTCAGGAATGGCAACGCATGGGTGGTATCATGGGCGAAACAGTATACTCTGTTATGTCCACGGTACTGCTTATGTCTATAGGTGACGGTTACCACTTTCCATCAGGTGGACCGTCAACTTGTTTGCCATTATAAGTTGTATAAAAAAAAAAAAAACTCAATTATATTACAAGTCAATAATAAAAATTTTGTTCCACAAAAGAAAATCGACTTCAATTGTGGGGCAAAACCAGTAATTTTGATTTAAAAACTAAACTCCTAAACCGATTTTGATAAAATTTCTATGGGACTAATCTGTAAGTATATGCTTTCAGATAAAAAAAGAATTTTCCAAATCGGTTTTAAAATGACGGAGTTATGTGGTAACAAACATAAAAAAAAACAATTGAACTGAGAAACACATTCTTTTTAATGTCGGTTCAAAAAGAACCACTTAGCTTAACTGAAGGAAGATTAAACAACATCTGCTATTCCCGTTATATTTTTCTTTTTATTTATTTATTTAAACCACGTATCTAAACATAAACTTACTTTACTTTTACTTAAGATGTTCTGTAACAATAATCTCACACTACACCATTCAAGCAATACGAGTAATCGAAGAAGAGAAGAAGAAGAAGAAGAAAGTAGTAAACAACCACATATGAATAAAGGGAACATAAAAGATGAACTCTTTGAACAAATACTAGTGTTAAAATCAGTGAAATAATAATATATACATATATATATATACATATATCTGTCACGCTTGTCTCCCATTACGGTAGGCAGAAACAATGGAACGCCAAATGCTTCGAAATAATAATGAGGTAGTTTATTTTAAGAAGTTATTGTGGTAATAAATATTTTGCATCTTATATTTAAATACTTCTTTTTCTTTTTAAAACCTTTTTGTATTTTTGTTTGAATTAAAAAAAATCAAGAAAATTATTTTCTTGAAAATAATTTAAAAATACTTTTTAAAAACATACAATTATTTTATTTATTACATACTTATCTACATACATTTGAATTACAATAATGTATTAATTTTATGATGTCTTATGGAACCGAAACGTGATCCTACACGATTGCCCGTTTGCAAAAGCTACAAGTTACTCAGTGAGCTATGGCTATGCTCGGAGTCTCTTTGTATGATAGTATTCGAAACGAGCATATCCGCAAAAGAACCAAAATAACCGACATAGCCAGAAGGAGAAGCAAGCTGAAGTGGCAATGGGCTGGTCACATAGCTCGAAGAACCGACAACCGATGAGGAACAAAGTTTCTTAAGTGGCGACCGCACATGAGCAAACGCAGTGTAAGACGACCCCCTACTAGATGGAGTGACGACCTGAAATGCATTGCAGGCAGTCAGTGGTTGCAGGTGGCTCAGGACCATCCTTTATGGCAGTCTATGGGGGAGGCTTATGTCCAGCAGTGGACGGATAATAGCCGAAATGGTGATGAATGTTTTAATTAAAAAAAAAAATTATAATTAGTCAAACTAATATTTATGATCCGTACCCGACCCATAGGTCCCCATAACACTTGTAGAATTTCTGCGTTTCAAATGCCGCAATTTAAAAAACTATTTTGCATAGGTATCTCTGTGTAATAATATATTGAATCAATAAACAAACAATACACAAACCCAAGTGTTAAACAAACGAAACTTTTGTGGTTTTAAAGGTATGCGTGGTCGGTGCGGTGGCGGGAAATGATTTTACCGTTACTCGGTAAAAATTAAAAGAAAAAACAATTTTTATATATTTTTTTAATTTACAAATAAGTAGGTAGTTGGCGTATGACCTTATTGTACCCTGGCGTAACAGTCTTGACTTGTGACTGAAGCTAAACTCAGCTAAGCTGGCCATTTTTACGAATTTTATTGTGCAATAAAGAATAAATAAATTAAGCGATATACCAGAGTTAATACCCAATGCAGGAGGGTGATTTTCTCGTTGGAATTTACAAACAAACTGTTGTTATATTACAGATATGTAAGTGTTTATTGTCATAAAATTTTGTACATTGTTTTTCGCTTGATATATTCATTTATAAGTATTAAATAATTTATGATAAATGTTCTGTTGACTTCACAAAGTTCTTTGAATAGTATTATGGCTCGAATTTGACCAACATCCCATGTTTTGAAAGTGGTTAAATTTTCGGATGAATTTGTATATTAAACTCAATATTTTGTTCATATGTGTACATCTTTTGTTAAGACATTTCGTAGTTTTATCCAAAATTCTTCCCTGTTATTTTCATCCCATGTATGATAAACTTTTGTTTTCATTAAAAATTTAAGAGTTGCTGTTAAATATTTGCTCTCTATTTCCCCTATTTTTATAAGTATAAGTGGATCATAGTTGGTGCCGTCTTCAAGAAATATTCTATGGTATTCAGCTAGCTGCGTTTCCCATCGGCACCACTGAGATCTTGCAAAATTGGTGCTAATCACCAGCACCACAAATTTACTTTCATTAATACTTGACAATACAGACTCTGAAATAAACGAACCGATTTCGAAGTCTCGCTCGTAAATACAGAGTTTCAAATAAGGCGGACTCTTCTCTAATTGAGTTATAACCTCTGAAATGAATTCTCTATCCTCATTAGAGTAAGAAACAAATGCATCATACTTATATTTCTTGGGCTCACATTTATCAGCCTTCAGAGAATTTCTTATAAATGTTCTACCTAATGCTAATTTAGCTAAAAATATCCAGTATTTAATATAGACTCTATATTTATATAGAAATAATCCTATAATTGCTATTAAAATTAAGGTAACCAAAGAAGGTGCGGTCCAAACAAGAATTATTACATTCGAGATTTTTTTATAAACATAACAGTGTGACTTTTTCATAGATTCCATATAATTACTTACTCTAAAAGATTCCCAGACGTCTGGACTATTGCATTGAAATTTAGAGTGAGAAAAATACTGTCTCAGTGGTGCAGATCCATTCATTTCTAACCACAACGCAGTCTCATACATTGTACTACAATCACATGTGAAAACATTGTTCATAAGATCAATTTCTACTGTTCGATTATGTCTGTCCTCTAGCAGATAACTTATATCTTGTATCATGCTGATAGTGAAATGGGAGATCTTATTGTTCGTTAAATACAGTTGTAGTGGCTTAACTCCTGCAGCTAAGAATAGAGGTTTCCACCATGATATCAAAAGATTTTCACTCAAGTCCAGAACTTGCAAACATTTTAATGGCTTCAATGTTTCAGCAGTAATGAAATACAGTTGATTATTCCTTAGTATTAGATGTAATAACATTGGCATCATCTCAAAAATGTTATCGTCATCATTAAAATTTGTAATACCACAATTTGATAATATTAAAACTTCCAACTTATTCAAACCCTCAAATTGGGCACTAGTAAAGTTGTTTCCGTTTACATTTAAAGGATTATTTGCTAAATTAAGTATTTCTAGATGTTTAGTATATTTAAACGTGCCAGGTCCAATATAATATAATGTACCGTTCTCCATATTTAACATTTTTAAATTATCTAAACCGCGAAACGTGTAATTGTGTATAGATTTTATCATGTTAAATCCAATATTTAATATTTTTAAACTTTTAGTCCCCAAGAACGCATCTTGATCAATTTCATAATACATCGGATTTTCAGAGTTACCTTTATTATTAGATAAATCTAAAAGTAGTAATTGGCTAGATAATGGCTTTTTATGTACACCAGGTAAATTGTTACCTCCTAGTAGTAAAATTTTGAGATTCGGAAATTTACGAGGTTCAAAAGTATTAGATCCTATTGAAATAGCAAATACTTTCCTTAAATCTAATAGTTCTATATTAACCATTTCAGGGAATGCATCATCAGGAATGATTTCGAATTGGTTTTGAGCTAGAATAAGTGTTTTAATGGTTGTTTGAGCAATTATATACATAAGTTCCTTTGGTGGATATTTTCTGAAACCCATACCAGATAAATCAAGGTAACTTAAATTAATATTAGATTGTGACATTTTGGCTAGAAAATTGCCTATTAAGGACGGATCCAAATCATTTTCTCCAATATGCAACTTTTTCAATTCCTTCAACGGTAGAAAACTGTTAGGATGAATGAAGTCCAGTCGACATAAACAAACATCCAACTTTTGTAATAAAGTTCCTTGCATTGGCACAAAAGCATCCTCGGGAATTTCTTCTAAATTATTCTTAGATAAATCCAACCACTTTAATGATGGAAGAATACTCGGTATCAATGCCGGTGTCAGAAGTCGTATATTTGTGAATCCATTATTTACTAATGTTAGATTTCTGAGATTTCTCAATCCTTCAAATGTTCTGTTACCTATTGTATAGAGGGCTGTGTTGTAGGATATAGATAGGTGTTCCAGGTTGCTCAAATTCCGAAAGGACCCAGGTTCTATATAAGTTAACTGATGATTCGCCTCTATTTCTAATATCTTCAAATAATAAAAAACGTCGAGATCTCCAATGTGTACGCTTGTTATGGAAGTTGTTCTTACTTTTAGAAGATCACTTTTCATCTTGACCTGTAACAATACAATTTTAATATGAAGTTTTAATTTTGTTTTGTATAAACTATTAATTATTCCATTTTAGTTAGTCATTATTATACGATAGAGCATTGCGTGTATATGTTTATTATTTGGATCGACCATGATGTTGATTGTTATGGTTCGAAGAATGATAAAGTCAGTTATCTTAGCCCTAAGGAGTAGCACTGTATGTAAGCTTGCATTTCTAAAGTTGTCACAGTATTTTTGCAGTTTATATATATATATTCTTTATTGCACTTGTAAGTTACATATAAAATAATGTATTTATAAATGTTGTGAGCAAGGGTGGACTTATCTCTGACAGAGATCTCTTCCAACAATCAACCCAGTACAGTAAGAAAGCATGTCGTTAGCGGGCAGCTGAAGTGCTACAACTATTAATACATAAACAAATATACAGTTAAATAAAATATTAAAATATATAATAAAATATTACATAAATACATACATTATAAATACATATAATACCTACCTACTTATATAATAAATGTTAAATTAATATACTACTTACATTAGAAATTTCGCTTAATGATTTTAAGAATTTATTTTATTATAATACTGTTTCTACCTTTAGGGGATGCATTTGGGCTGTCAAATTTCTCCAAACCATTTTAGTTAATGATAGTGGAATTTTTGTAACTCTCTTAGCTTATCTTTAATATAAATATTTTCCTTTCCTTATAATTATAAATCCTTCCTCCTAAAATAACAGTGCGTGCATTATTGTGTTTTGGTGAAGGTTAAGATAGCTAGTGTAACATCCAATTCTACATATAAACGTCACACATTAGTTTTTTAATATATAATAGCATGAAGCAATATAAAAGGACTTTCTTTACCATACATACATACATACATATCTGTCACGCCTGTCTCCTATTAGGCTAGATTTTCTTTACCATGTGCTGTATATTAAGTTCAGTGATGTATAGGTGTTATCACTGCTGTGTCAATAGGTGGTCATTATTATTATCCATCAGGCGAGCGATTAGTTTGATTGTTATTTTTAGCAGAAATAAAACCTGCCGCCCTGTGGAGTGCGACTCGACTATTTCAAATACTAGGCATAGTCTGTTTAAATAAAGCTTAATACAAAGGCAAATAAGTTCGTATTTTTTTTGTGCAACTTAGAATTGGACAAAAACTGACGGCCCATCTGCTGGAAAGTGGTAGCTGTATAGATATGAACAGTACCATGGACATAACAGACTATATACGCCCTTCATGAGTTGTCATTCTTCAGGACTGTTATGCCTCTGTATTCTGTAATTTCATTGCCATATCCAACTCTTCAAACCGAAACACAGCCATGCAAACACAACTGCTTTACGGTTGAAACACGAATAGGGCAGAGGTGCTAGGCGACGGTTACCACTTTCTATCAGGCGGGCCGTCAGTTTGTTTGCCGTTCAAAGTTCTATAAAAGAAAACTTACTGATAATGTAGTTTTCTATAGGTGAAAGAGTTTTTAAAATTAATTGAGTAGTTTTTGGGTTTCTCTATTACAAACAAATAACAAATCCTCTTTATAATGTTAGTACAAATTATAATAGCAACACGAACATACCCGTGGAATTTTTTTGCAGTTATAGTTCCCAAAGCAAACGATCACTTTACGGTTATACGTGGACCGGCAGAGGCAACCAGACGCCCGGTCTACGTCCAGGCGGATGGGGAGCGAGTGCCACTGCGGGGTGCCCCGCCCGAGGAATCGGTTCGACAGCTCCTCCACGCTCTCCTCGTCAAGGTTACTCCTAGCATTTTGAGCGTAGCACAGAAGCAGCCAGAGATAACTTGCGTATATCATGTCTTGAGTCGTACTTGTATAAATCTAAAATTAAACATATTTTTATTTTGGAGTATCCAATGGTTTTTTTTAATGGATGATAATGGAATGGTAACCCCACCCGCGCTATCGGTATACACCGGCGGGGTACCAGTGAAGGATGATAGGTGATGATGAAAACAGGTCAGTTAGCCCATCGTGACAAATTACACTAGAATCAGCCACGATGGTTTCCAGGGGGAACCGCGTGGAGGTCAACCTGATACAGCTATTGTTAGCAATGGGCTTGTTAAACCTCATTACTAACAATTATTTTCCCCCGTATCCAATGGGTTAGGTTTTTTTATACAATTTAGAATGGCAAATAAGCTAACGGTCCACCTGATGGAAAGTGGTAACCGTCGCCTATAGACATGAGCAGTACCATGAACATAACAGAGTATACTGTTTCGCCCATGATACCTCCCCATGCGTTGCCATTCCTGAGGACTCAGGTGTTATTCCTCTGTACCCTGTAAATTCACGCCATATCCCACCTTTGAAACCGAAACAGCCATGTAAACACAACTGCTTCACAGTTGAAACACGAATGGGACAGAGATGCCCAAGCAATGGACTTTTGTACAAAGTCTCCCTCTGGTCAGGTTTCCATCAGGTGATAGAAAGTAACCGTCATTTCATCATTCGATACGAATAATATCTATTATAAAATACACTGTGATGATTTCTGGAGAATAGTCCTGATAATGAGTTCTATACTATCATCAACATCAACATATCAGCCGTCTACTGTCCAATGCTGAACATTGGCCTTCCTCGAAAGGTGACTTTTGCTACTGGTTGCCACGCTTGACAGATGGATTAGCAACCGCAGTTGAGCTTTAGTGATGTTTAGAAAGACGCTGCTGCCCATTCCTCGAGCATTAAGTTCCCTTAGTCGCCTCTTATTGATACCCATGGGGAAAAAAGGGTGGCTCATCCTGAGAGATCACAAGGTATATACTATATTATTTACCAAATAATAATACGTTCAATAAATTAATTAGATATATTAATATACATTAGGTTTTTTTTTTTTTATACAACTTAGAATGGCAAACAAGCTGACGGCCCACCTGATGGAAAGTGGTAACCGTCGCCTATAGACATGAGCAGTACCATGGACGTAACAGAGTATACTGTTTCGCCCATGATACACCCCATGCGTTGCCATTCCTGAGGACTCAGGTGTTATTCCTCTGTACCCTGTAAATTCACGCCATATCCCACCCTTCAAACCGAAACACAGCCATGCAAACACAACTGTTTTACGGTTGAAACACGAATGGGACAGAGGTAGCCAAGCAAACGACTTTTGTACAAAGTCTCCCTCCGGTTAGATTATCCTGTATCTTTGTATACACTACTAAATTTTATTTTATAACGCGTTGAAATATATGTTTAATATTATCAAAGTAAATAAGCATTAGCAAAAGTAAATTAACCGAGTACTTTCTGGGGGGAAAGGGATTGTTAGTAATGGAGACTGAGAATCCCATTGCTAGCAATATAGCCAACCAGGTCGAACTCCTCGCGGTTCCCTCTGGAAACTATCGTGGTTAATTCCTGATGAGTTCATCATGATGGGCTAACTGGCCTGTTTTCATTCTCATCTATCACCCTTCACTGGTGCTCCGCCAGCGTATCCCGTTAGCGCAGGCGGGGTTACCATACCATTTTCACCCATCAAAAAAAAACTGAGTACTTTCTAAAAGGCGACTGTGTAAGCACACGTGGAGCACGTAGCCGTGTTAGGAAGCTGTAAACACTAATTCGTGGATATTTCAATTAAACTACAACGAAATCTTACGAAGTTTGTAAATTGATAAGCGGATGTTGTAAACGTTATCATAATTGTAAGATAAATAGTCTCTCGTAATAAAATATCGTAGGAAATGTTATTCGAATGCTTTAAGAATGTATATACGTAACAATATCCCAGTACTGAGAAGAATGACAAAGTCATATTTTTCAATCGACTTAAAAAAGACTGAGGAAAAAAAAATAACCGAATAATAATAAAAATAAAATTGAGAACAATTCGGTTGTATTTTTTTGTTTGTTTGTTAATTCACAATTCCTTCAGTTTTAAACTGATTGGAATTTTTTTTTTTATCTGAAAAAACATACTTACAAATTAGGTCTTTTTTATGCAAATTAGAATAGCAATGAAGCTGGCGACCCACCTGATGGAAATTGGTAACCGTCGCCTATAGACATGAGCAGTGCTATGTGACATAACAGAGTATACTGTTTCGCCCATGATACTGTGCCTTAAAGATGATCAAAAATGAGAATTTAAGGTGTATTAGTGAACGGAACATTTGATACAGTTCATAAGAAATTTGTTTGTTAATTATTTCAGTATTTTATTATACTGTAAAGTGATATTGGTATATATAATCTCATCATTTGTATATGCTTTAAACATTTCCGAACGCAATATCCTTCTATCCTCCTTGCCTATCCATATTTCCTATCGAATCTGGGATCACATTGGGGGGGTAGATGGACAAAATCAGTCTATAATCCAACTGCGTGTCGAGCTGATCAAGTTCCGCCAAGATCACGAAAAATCTCCACCAGTTGCGAATTATTCAATGAGCCGCGATCTCCGCGCAACATACAGTGATACTTAAGCAAAATCAACAAAATTGTTGGATATTTAGAAGAGAGAACGAGAACGCGTACAAAAGACCTACACACGGGGACTAAGTGAACCAGGTTTGTCCTTTACCCTTCTTTTTATCCAATAGATATTAATTTAAAATTAAGATATTTTTTCTTTTTACGTATGTAGTTATGAAAGTAATGTTTAAATTACTGGTGGATTAATGAATAAAATTTGTCCAAACTTCGCCGAGCATATCAGAATCCAGTGAATCCCTAATATTACTGGGTAAGAAGTAACATTTATAGATATTTAGCATTATACCCACTTTATATGAATATACATATCTTGTACTAAAGAATAAATAAATCAATTCACACTGACAGGTGGCTAGCTTAACGCAGGCCGTCAATTTAGTTCCTTAGTAGTATTTTTTATTACCGGAGATTTAGTTAAAAACTGAAATGACAACACACAGAGCGTTTGGTGTCATTTGGATACGTGCTTACGAATTCATCACGTTAAACTTCTGTATATTGAGGAAGTATACGACGTTACCTTCTTTCACATCATAGGTTCAATTCTATACACGATACAAGGGAAAGGAATGCTTTTACTAGAATACTCAACCCTACTCTTAAGAAATACAAAAGACTTTGAAAGTGTATGAGGATAGGTATATTAATTCTGAACTTGAAAATATTAATGAAATTTATATTTTTTGAAATGAAATTAAGTCATTGTAGTAAACTATAGTTTTGTTTTTTTTTTTTACAACACAGGGGGCAAACGAGCATGCGGCTCACCTGATGGCAAGTGACTACCGCCGCCCATGATCACCCACAACACTAACGGCATTGCAGGTGTGCTGCCGGCCTTTTAAAAAGGAATATACTCTTTTCTTGAAGGTTATGTTGTCGTATCGGTTCGGAAATACTGCTGCTGGAAGTTGATTCCAAAGAATAGTTGTGCGTGGAAGAAAGTGCAATGTGTTGTTGCAATTATGTTTCTTATAAATTGTTCATTAAATATAACCGTATGCTTTTAAAATAAAAGCAGAACTTTGAAAAGTCATAAATTATTAAAGAGTTAACTTTCTCTTTCATATTGTTCTTTAAATATTTCGTTTCGTTTCGCATTTCCTTATTTCTGTCTGATTAATATTATTTTGTAATTTTAATGGAGAAATGAGGTTGAAATTACATAATCTCCGTAAGAATTGCCGACGCTTCGATTTGAAATATTCAAACGTACATAAAACGACGCACTAGTAAAAGGCCTTACATCATTCATAATCATATATATATTCATAAAAAAAAAACAAACCTGTTTTTCTAGTAAGGAAGTGCGAGAAAAAATCCTTTATCCAACATTAGCCAGCAGTCATTGTTAACACCATATCGTTTACTATTGTAAATTTCACATAACTATACCATTATTGGGCACAGATTTTTAAATGTCCTCCGATATTTTCCATTCAACCGTGCCGAACATAGACTCGTGTGCTGCGTACGATCAAATGATCATTACCAATGTTTCCCAAGCGGCGATTGGTCCGTGATTATTTGCACGAGATATCTTTAGTGCGATAACGTGAAGTGGCAAGGAGGCTCTAATTTGACAATGTCGTTTATGACTGAAATTCCTATTTACATTTTACGCAATTAGAATTGTTTAGATTATCCACTTGTAAGGTCTGAGTATTATAAAATAGCCGTGTCGGTCCCGGCATAGAATAGGCCAGCCCTTCCTTTCCCGTGGGTGTTGTAAGGGAGGACGAGAGATGGGCAGCAGCGTCCCTCTTAAAACATCTCCAGAACCTAATTGCGGTTGTCAATCCGCCTGCCTCAAGAGGGAGATTTATGTTCAGCATGATGATGATGATGATGATGAAGATCAGAAAACGATCATTCCTGTCGAAACCTATTTAGAATGGAGCTAGATTTATGCCGAGTTTATTTTAATAGGTGATAATGAAATGGTAATTCCGCCTATGCTAACGGTATATGTTGGCGGAGTACCAGTGTGAGACGATAGATGAGGATGAAAGAAGCAGGTTTGTTAGCCCATCTTGATGAATTTACTTGGAATTAAGCATGATGGTTTCTAGGGAGGACCACGAGGAAGTGGACCTGACTGGGTATATTGCTAGCAATGGGTTTCTTAGTTCCCATTAATACCAATCCCTTTCTTCCACGTGAGAAAGTAATCGACCTGATTTCGAAATCCAAAGTTCGTTTTGCTTTACTGTTTTATTTCATCGTTAATTGTACATATTTTCTACCGAATTTTCTGGTATTATCGTATTTTCTCCTATGAATACTTTCTTGAGAAAAGTTTTATATTATACGCTATTTGATGATTTTTTTATTATTTTATATTCTTTATTATATTTGTATGAATTCCCAAAGAGGGTTGACATCAGGCAGGCGACCGGGCGTAAAACTAAAAACCAATCTTTTTGTAATATGGATAAAATCATATTACGCCGACCACAAATGATTGGGATAAGGGTAGGAGGATGATGATGATTATATTTGTATCTATTTTTTTTTATTACATCTTAATAATTTTTTTGACCCCTCTATGGGTTTAGTCGTATATTTCTGTATAATAAAGTTTCTTTCTTTCTTTCTTTTACATATTAATGTGATTAAATTAAAAAAAAAACCAGTTAAATTACTAATCAAGTCGGTTAAATAAACTTGGCGGAAGGTTTTTTTATGGGTAATAATGGAATGGTAAACCCACTCGTGCTATCGGTATACACCGGCGGGGTACCAGTGAAGGATGATAGATGAGGATGAAGCAGGTCAGTTAGCCCATCGTGACGAATTCAACAAGAATTGTTCACGATGGTTTCCAGCGGGAATCACGTGGAGGTCGACCTGATAGGGCATATTGCTAGCAATGGGGCTGTCAAACTCTATTGCTAACAATCCCTTTCCCCCCTGGCGGAAAGTTAGATACATATTGGCATTTGAAGAGACATGATGTTTGATAAGTATCTAATACTATATCTCTGACTATATTGTATACTACGTAATACTGTAATATGTATATTCAAGCTTAGATATACGTCGACAGAATACGTCATTTAAAACGTCGTTTATTTATTATCAAAGATTTAAAACTATTTAAATCTCCGTTTATTGTAACCGTGCGGTTTTCAAGGCACGTCTACCAGAGGGAGACTTTGTACAAAAGTCGATTGCTTGGGTACCTCTGTCCCATTCGTGTTTCAACTGCGAAGCAGTTGTGTTTGCATGGCTGTGTTTCGGTTTGAATGGTGGGATATGGCGTGAATTTACTGGGTACAGAGGAATAACACCTGAGCCCTCAGGAATGGCAACGCATGGGGGGTATCATGGGCGAAACAGTATACTTTGTTATGTTCATGGTACTGCTCATGTCTATAGGCGACGGTTACCACTTTCCATCAGGTGGGCCGTCAGCTTGTTTGCCATTCTAAGTTGTATAAAAAAAAAAAACTTTTTACCGCGCACAACCATTCTTTGGAATCGACTTCCTGCAGCAGTATTTCCGAATCGATACGACATCGTAACCTTCAAAAAAAGAGCATATTCCTTTTTAAAAGGTCGGCACCACACCTGCAATGCCGCTTGTGTTGTGGGTGATCATGGGCGGCGGTAGTCACTTACTACCAGGTGAGACGCATGCTCGTTTGCCCCCTGTGTTGTAAAAAAAAAGTACCTATATCGAATTATAAGATCGTCAATCATTACTTCAATTTATAAGATAATTGTAATTCAATTTGTAAATTAATAATTGGAACAAATATCGGTACATATCAAAATTTACATTGTATTTATTCCCTTGTTAGTCCCATGTGTACTAATTTTAACAATTTTACGACCATTCTATTTTCACCTAATGAATAGAATAGAATAGAAATCATTTATTCAAATAAACTTACATTGAAGCACTTTTGAATAGTCATTACATTTTTTTTAATCTACCGCTCGTTCGGAAAGCTGTCTCATCACAAGAAGAACGAGCAAGAAACTTGCGTGTTGCTCTTTTAAATAATTTTATTATTACTTTACATTTTTAAGTTTAATTGTGTGAATACAAACCACCAATTAGCACTAATTCAATTAAATACTCAAAAAGAAAAAATATTGAATACATAACCAAATGAAAAATACATACATACCGTTCAAAATCATAACCGTCCTTTATGTTTCGCAGTAGTCGGGTAAAAACAGCATTTGCTTTAATATTTCCGAGATAAAAAGCATTCGATCTGATGTGTACTTTAAAATTATTATACTTATATGAATATTTCAAAAGTGTTGTCTTGCAGAAGTCCATATCATTGGTCATTTAATTAGAAGTATTTCGTTTAATTCCGCTACCATTAGTATGTGTGCGACTGCCAACACTCGAAGATTGACTATTATTATTGTTACTCGAAGTTCTACAACCCCTTCATATTAACCCTCAATCTCCTAATACCACTTTGTTCACACACGTTTTGCGACACGTATTTTAACTTGAAACGAGGCATCTTCAGGTAAATTATTAGATTGCTATCTAGTGTTAACCGTCCGGTGCCCAAACTACATACAAAAGGGGGGAAAGGGATTGTTAGTAATGGTATCAGTTCCATTGCTAGCAGATCGACCTTCACGTGGTTCCCCATGTTAACCATCGTGCTGAATTTAAGATGTATTCATCACGGTGGGCTAACTGACCTGCCCTTTCATTTTTGCCTATCATCCCTCACTGGTGCCCCGCCAGCGTATTCTATTAGCACAGACGGGGTTACCATTTCAATATCATCTATTGAAAAAAAAAACTAGATACAAAATAATATGTCGAAACGTCGGCAATAAAGAAGCAGGTATAAATGTAGGTATTAGTTACCTGCAAAGGTTTTTCCTCCCGTTAGGTCTCGATTGTGTGTTTAAAATATGTGTAAACAACGTGAAAGTTTAAAATTAACTGTATAAGACTCGTTTATATGGATACTTCTGTTTGATTCTTTTTTTTTTTATACAACTTTTATTTTATACAACTTAGAATGGCAAATAAGCTGACGGCCCACCTGATGGAAAGTGGTAACCGTCACCTATAAACATGAGCAGTATCATTGACATATCAGAGTATACTGTTTCGCCCATGATACCCCCTATGCCTTGCCATTCCTGAGGATTCAGGTGTTATTCCTCTATACCCTATAAAATCACGCCATATCCCACCCTTCAAACCGAAACACAGCCATGCAAACACAACTGCTTCACGGTAGAAAAATTTCTGCTATAGAGTAGACTTACATGGCTGTGTTTCGGTTTAAAAGGTGGGATATGGCAGTAAAATTAAATACGAACGCATAACAAAATAATAGGAGACTGTTACTATTTTTCATAGATTGTCAACTTGTTTACTATGAAATGATGAATAGAAAGAATTGTGGAAAATATATCTGCGTATTTTGTGTTTATGAATTAATGAAATTTTTTTATTGCTCCCTTCAAAGAATGATTACAGATTATAAAGATTAGCAATATGTACACAAAACAAAATAAATACTTCACTGCATAAAATCAAGATATGTTTTAGATATGTTCTCCTTTAACCAAAGGTTGTCTGTAAGAAATTGCCCTAGCAATAAGACCACCTTTTGTACCTTTATGTGTATATTTTGATCTGTACTCCATGCTACTGTATTTCAGTTGAATCGTTTATATGTCATTGTTTATTTTTATATTTTTGGTGTAATAAAGATTTAAATAAATAAACAGGTAACAATAGGCGTCCTTATCACTAAATAGAGACATCTTCCAGGCAACCTTGGAATGGAATAATTATAATTGTGCCTAGTCAAGGCGTAAGAGAGAAATAATAAGACTAAAAAGGGTAAAAAATGGCTATAAATCGTAGTTTAGGTCTATACGATGGCTGGAAGGTGCGAGATACATTTTTAATTACTCTCATATCGACAGTTCGAGAAATCTTATCGTCACCGTCATCACATAACCGTAACTTGACTGTTTCACATTTTTTTTTATACAACTTAGAGTGGCAAACAAGCTGACGGCCCACCTGATGGAAAGTGGTAACCGTCGCCTATAAACATGAGCAGTATCATGCACATAACAGAGTACACTGTTTCGCCCATGATGCCCCCCATGCGTTGCCATTCCTGAGGACTCAGGTGTTATTCCTCTGTACCCAGTAAATTCACGCTCATTAATATCCCACCCTTCAAACCGAAACACAGCCATGCAAACACAACTGCTTCACGGTTCAAACACGAATGGGACAGAGGTATCCAAGCAATCGACTTTTGTACAAAGTCTCCCTCTGGTAAATTTCACTGCATATCAGTCAACTGTATAACGAACTCAGCTTAGAATTATCATAAAGTTACCATTCTATTATCACTTATTAAAAAATAAATAAAAACTGAAAAAGAGGATGGTATAAAAATTGATTGCTAAAGTCCTCCGTTTTTAGCATTCGGTTTACTTTTCCCATATCACAGTAGAAGTCATAAATGTGAGGGAACTGGTTTTAAAAGATAACGCGTGTCATTGTCTTCAATGTTATATTTTTAGAGTAAACTGTGTTGTTAATTAGTGTTCTTAGAATTTATAAAGTCTGATGCATTAGTATTCTATAGAGGTGATGGCAGAGCGCTGGATAAGCTTCTGATCAGTTCGTCCATCTGCACCAAGTTGATCTTGGCCTGCTGCAAGAGCTGTCCCTCGGGCAGCTCCGGAGGCTCGTGTTTCAGCAGGGTCGCGGACTCCGTTAGGATTTTCCGTGATTCCTGCGTTGATAAAATGTATAACTTATTTAATTAATAATTTTAACCCTTAAATACCTGAAGTTTCAAATTTGATACCGGGGTTATAAATCGCATTGGGCGCCTACAATCGATTTTATTTTAATATTTAGCTGTTTACATGTTACCAAATGTTTTTTTTTTTCAAAATAAATATACAAAAATATCGTTTTGGTTTTTTTACTATTTTTCTTCATTAGTAAACACAGTAAAGGATACACTTATATATTTTTAATTTGATTTAAAAAATCAGGCTTTTAAGGGTTAAGCACGCATTTTCAAGTGACTACAGAAGAGAGGATACTTCGTCTGTATTTTTTTTTTGTGTTTATGTGCAATCAATTATTGATCCAATATTAATTTTATTAGAACAAAATTGCCAACCGAAATAGCTTTTTTTATATGATCGAGGTAGCAAACAATTAAACAGTCTCCCTGATCAATACTAGCTGCTCCGAAACGTTTTTATGCCTTTTAAAAGAAATATGTTACAATTTTTCGGAAAAAACTTGGCAAATTTAAAATCTTAGTGTCATTGGAGTTATTAGCTTTTGAGAGAATTCCACTAGTGTTCCTGGTACCCAAGAGTACTAGTGGGGGTACCAGGAACATGAAGGCCTTACGAAATCTCTAATCAGATTTCGGAGGGCCTTCATATTCACAGATAAACTGTTGTTGACATACAAAGTTTTTGATGTTAGCGAGAATCAAACTTACGAACTTTAAAAGTGGTATTTACTAACCGTTACGTGGCCAAGTAGAACCATAGGCCCGTCTGTGAGCGACTTCCGCCTGCCCGCCTCCGCTACCGCGGCGTGCAGCTCGTACAGCACGGAGCCTCGGAGACGGGTCTCAGCTGTGGGACACAACGATATAAATGTATATTAGTGGAAAGAGATTGTCAAGAACGGAGATGAACTGCCCAATTGTAATCAATATATCCTATCGCCATAGTTTATTATGTGCGTTTAAAATCTGCCAATTTTACAGATTAAAATAAGCTGACCTGCAAAATAATACCAGAGGGAGACTTTGTACAAAAGTCGATTGTTTCAGTACCTCTGCCCCATTCGTGTTTCTACCGTGAAGCAGTTGTGTTTGTGTGGCTGTGTTTTGGTTTGAAGGGTGGGATATGGCGTGAATTTACTGGGTACGGAGGAATAACACCTGAGTCCTCAGGAATGGCAACGCATGGGGGGTATCATGGACGAAACAGTATACTCTGTTATGTCCATGGTACTGCTCATGTTTATAGGCGACGGTTACCACTTACCGTCAGGTGGGCCGTCAGCTTGTTTGCCATTCTAAGTTGTATAAAAAACACATACACGCACACACACAACTATCAGTATGTAATGGCATATATTGATGGAAAGAAGTTTTCAAGTTGTGTTTAACTGCCCTATTGAAATCAAATCAGTAATATTTAATCTTAGACTCTACCCCTAGTTGAGTGGGGGAAAAGGTATTGTTAGTAATGGGGACTAATGGCCCCATTGCTAACAAAACCTGTCAGGTCGACCTCCTCGCGGTTCCCCCTGGAATCCATTGTGACTGATACTTGTTGTATTCGTCACAATGGGCTGACAGACCTGCTTTCATGCTCACCTATCATCCCTCACTGGTGCCCCGCCAGTGCATATCGATAGCGCAGGCGGATTGCCATTTCATTATCATGCATTAAAAAAAACCCCTAGTTGAGTGAAGGCATTGTTAGTAATGGAGATTATTTGTCTCCTTGACAATCGTCTATCAAAAAAAAGCGTTCACGCTCACTTTTTTACTTTATCCGAGCAGTGAGTGCTTTATATTATTCTTAATTTCGTGTATATGTCAACATGGACAGGACAACATGGAGGTCGACCTAACAGACTATATTTATTTATTTATTTATTCGTTAGTACATATATGTGTACATGGCGGACTTAATGCTAAAAGCATTCTCTCCCAGTCAACCATAGGGCAGTGTCAGAATACTCGAATGCGGTACTACTAATTATTGATATACATACATACTAAAATTACATATATAAACAAATATATGTTTATCAATAACAAATATACTTATACATATATAAAAATATACTATATTGTACACGAAATTGGGAATAATATAAAATACTTATATCGTCACAGTCGTAGAATACTGACGGATCTTTATACGTAATCTTTGTCAGATCCGTCAGTATTCTACGACTATGACGATACCTATATCGTTATAGTCGTAGAATACTGACGGATCTCTATATGTAATCTTTGTCAGATCCGTCAGTATTCTACGACTATGACGATATATTTTACTGCGTTGCGACATATATTTTAGTGGAAAGTAAAACTAGTCGTATGATTATCTGCACTAGTATAATTTTTTATCTTACACGTGTATCATAACTTTAAATAAATCTACTTATTACAGTGAGAGGATTTGGCCAATAAATTTACAAGTTAAATACATAATGTATACTCAGTTTATATAGATAGATAGATACTCTTTATTGTTTCCTCCAAAAGATTACAATAGTAAACTTATTTTAAATACATACAACTACAAGAAATAATCACAATGAGAAAACAATGGGCGACCTTATCGCTAAAAACGGTCTCCTTCAGGCAACCTTTGGATGGAGAGGAGTAATTATAAACAATTTGACGCTTACGCCGGTACACCGGGGGGCCACCAGAGAAGGATGACAGGTGAGGGTAAAGCAGGTCAGTTAACCCATCGTGACGAATTCAACAAGAATTGTCCACGATGGTTTCCAGGGGGAATCACGTGGTGGCCTACTTATAGGGCATATTGCTAGCAATGGGGCTGTTAAACTCCAGTGCTAACAATCCCTTTCCCCCCGCGTGGCAGCTACTGGTAAAGCTCACCAACAGGGCGAGGCTGAACATAGTCAGCTGTGGAAAGATGATGATTTTATTCCTATCTACACGGGTAGTGTATTTTTATTTATATATTAACTAGCTTTTACCCGTAACTTTGTCTGCGATATAATTAAGTATTTCCATGGTATTAATACAGATAAGATACTGGTCTGTTTATGTGCTGAATTATAATCAAATTCTTTCCGTTTGTTTGTAATGTGTAACAAACATATTATGTTTTCCTGTTGACATAACTGTAAGTATTAGTTATTCAAATAAATATGAACTTATCTAAAAAACATTATACATTTTATCTTATAGACAGATAGATAGATAGATACTTTATTAGCATTACTTACAGCACACAAACAATAACAGACATAAATGCACAGTGAAAAAAAGATAAAAAGAAATTCATGAACAAAAAATTAAAAAAATAAAAAAACAAAATGCATAAAATAAGTAACAATTTTTTCCCTTCATGCGTTTTGTGTTATTGCAGCATGCAGTAACACAAAATGGTCACAATTCAGCTTATTGCTTTGCCCTAAAAAGAGTAAAACACTGATATTCTGTTGTGGCCAAGAGTGTGCCGCAAAATTCCATTGAAAAAAAATAATAAAAAAAAAAGAAATAAGAAATATAGATAATATACATTGTGTGTGTGTGTGTGTGTGTGTGTTTTTTTTTATACAACTTAGAATGGCAAACAAGCTGACAGCGCACCTGATGGAAAGTGGTAACCGTCGCCTATAGACATGAGCAGTACCATGGACAGAACAGAGTATACTGTTTCGCCCATGATACCCCCCATGTGTTGCTATTCCTGAGGACTCAGGTGTTATTCCTCTGTACCCTGTAAATTCACGCCATATCCCACCCTTCAAACCGAAACACAACTGCTTCATGATAGAAATACGAATGGGACAGAGGTACCTAAGCAATCGACTTTTGTACAAAGTCTCCCTCTGGTGTGTTCATTATATTTACTATTATTTAATATAATATTACATATACATCTACGTAATTAGATATTTTACTTGATCCATTTAAATAAATAGATATCTTAATTATAAATTCATATGATTATAAATTTATGACCTTATGTAGCAAATATATGATAAATTTTCCTATAGCATCTAATTTCTTATCAGATTATATCTACGAGTTTTAAACACAATGTCGTACATCTTTGATTCACAAAGTGAATGATAACGCCCACTTATGAGCGTCTGTAGAGGGACTGTAAATTTTTGCTTTTGTTATTTTTTATACAACTTAGAATGGCAAACAAGCTGACGGCCCACCTGATGGAAAGTGGTAACCGTCGCCTTTAGACATTCTCATCTTCGTGTATAATATAGTATATCTTATATATATGTAAGTATATTTGTTATTTATATATGTATATTTATTTGTTTATATATGTTAATTGCGTGTATGAAAAGATTGATGAATGTGGAAGAAGCAAATGACGTTTGTTTGAATCCAAGCATTTTTCGTTGCATTGTTTCTCTCTACTCTAATGGGATATAGACGTGACAGATATGTGTGTATATATGTGTAAATTTTAGTATGTATGTATATCAATTAATAATCGTACCGCATTCACGTTCTGACACTTCCCGAAGAAGATTAAGTCCGCCATTTAGACATACATGTACTAACGAATAAATAAATAAAAAATTAAAAATTGCTCAGTCAAACAAAATTTTTGTTAATTCAATTAATTCTAAAAGTAAAAATAAAAGATATAAGTTTGAGAACCTCTGGTCTATAGGAATACTTACAGTATATAATATATAAATAAACAAATACAAGTCTCATACAGCTAGTGGAGTATATTAGGATCTAAATAACAATTGTAAATAATGTTCTTACATTGTTTAATGATAAACACATATGTTATTCAATTTAGTGCTTAATATAAAACAAGAGGTAAAACACTCCATGGGTACCATGAGTAATATTTTTTAATAAACCACATTTTAAGTCTATAGACGGTTTTTTTTAATGAATGATAACGAAATGGTAACCCTCTCTGCGCTAACGGTATACACTGGCGGGGCACCAGTGAGGGATGATAGTTGAGAATGCAAAAGGCAGGTCAGATATCAGATCGTGATAAATACACCTAGAATTCAACACGATAGTTTCCAGGGGAAACTACGTGGAAGTCGATCTGATAGGGTGTATTGTAAGTACCTGGCGCGAGAATTTCCAATAAATCGGTGATCTTCCTGCACAGCTGCAGTTTGAGGAGGAGGCGGTCGTCGCTGACCTTCGCGAGGCCGAGCTCCTCCTCCTGGCCGATCATCTGAGCGAGCGCCAGGCTCACGTCAGTCATATAGTAGTGGGAGGGGTGCAGGTAGTTGCTGCAGTGGTTGATGAATCTTCAACAACGATATGCTGTATTATAACACAGTTTCAGAGATGTTTCACGCTCATGTTTTGGATGAGCTCCCTATCGAGGTTTACCCCAAGAGACTAAAACATGGGGTTCTTCAAATAAGGGATAAAGAAGTTTGTTCGGGGTCAGCAACGCGCGCGTAATGCTCCTGGTATTGCAGAAGTTTATAAGTTACAGTTATTGGTTACAATCAGGTGAGCCGTATGCTTATTTGCCACTCCAGTGGTATAAAAGTAATACCGTTAAAAAATCAAATTAATCGGAGAATCGCTGTCTGCCGTCATCATCTTGCTGCCCTTACCCCAATTATTTCAGGTCGATGTAATGATTTTATTCATTTTTCCCCGGGGTTTGGCTTTTGATTTTAGGTCTGGTCGCCTGCCTTACATTAATCCTCCTTGTTTCCGTCTGCTTTACTGGACTGGAGTGTAACTATTATGTCCACCACAACGTAGGACTAAACAATCTGTTCAGAATTGACCATAATATCCCATAAAAATCTGTGAAATGGATAACATCTGTCTTTTATAATAAGGTTCAAAATTTAATGGTATTGGGTATTTTACATAACTGAATAACTCTCAAAAAGGAAGATTTAGAGTCGAAATAAAAGACATTCGAGTATCTATTTACCTTTCACAGGAATCAGGATCTCCCTTTGGCATAGCACTCAGCTCTCTGCCGATGTCTTGTAGTAGTTGCTGAATGATTGCATCGGACACTGCGTCTTTACAGCAGTTGCATACCCAGAACTTGTTGTCTAGGTTCTGTGTTTTCGGATCAGGTTTCACCGTCTTATGCAAGATGGGGAGAATGAAAGTCTCCGGCAAGAGAAATCCTTTGCATCCTCTGGAATGGTATAACATTTAAGCAATATTGTTAGAATGAAAGACATTATTTTATACTACGACGCATTTATTTATAAATATGAAAGAAAAATTGAATTCAATTTTGATTAATTTGGTTGAACTTTTTTGTTTGAAGATAGTTTTTTAATATTACGATTACGCGGTTGCTGAATCTAGTTTGAGATAGCCTCATTTACAACTATGATCACTTTCTCATTGCATTTCTTTTTGTTGGTCTCATAAAAGGAATGGCGATAATTTGTCTTGAGGTTCTTGTCTTGAAAACTTTATTATAAGCTTGATGATGATATCAGTCGTTAGTGTCCACTGCTGAACATAGGCCTCCTCCTACTGGGAGGTTTTGCCAGTAGTAGCAGTGATTACGCCTCGAGAAATATTCAGAGCAATCTCGAAGAATATGCACTATCACTGAAAGATCCAATAAAATGAATGATGTGTTCTGAGTATTATTTTTCTAAATACTAGTCAATACAGTAAAATTTAAGGTCCTCCTTTTTAAATGTCAGTTCAAAAGTAAAATGTGAGAAATATGTTATAACTATTATTGTTAACGATTATTACAATGTAACGACCCACATAATGGAAAGTGGTATCAACTACCTAGTTGATGGTGTATGCTATCACTCACTTCTTTTTACACTTGATGCTGCTGTACATGGTGCCGAGCTCGGTGACGTCGGAGCACCTGTCACAGTTGCACTCGAAGAATTTGGTATCGGCGAGGTGGTGGCGGCGAGCTTCCGTGCCCCACATTGGATCCGTGTAGCACACCGTGATATGGGAGCCAGCTGGGATATTCGTGCCCGCACACAGAATCTGAAATTAAATATTTGTAAGTGTACTATAGTAATCCATGACTGTCCCAAGATATTCTCGTTCAATGCCATTTTTACCCATAAGGTCCTAAGAAATCTAATCTGCTGCCCATTTAACATTACATAAACCATAGACCTTATCTAACTAATTAATATTAAATCCGTTCAACCATTTTCGGTATTGGATACGATAGAAGACTATAAATAAATAGGTCCTGAAAAGAGTTAAAGCAAGAAAACATGTTGCTTAGCATTTGTTTACGGTTCTATTCATCTCGTAATAGATCTGGCTTGATAGACACAATATAGAACTTCAAATATTATTTCTTCTAAAATGCTACCCACCATATCTCCATCCGAAGTGAAGCTTTTATTACAATTGGCACGACAGTTGTGCTCCACCATCGAAATTCGATCAAATATGGCCACATATTCAGGCTCCAGTAAGGGCACCTCATGTCCGTTTATCTGCAGTCAAAAATAGTATCTATTTATAAATCTCACTAATATTTCTAATAAGTGTTCGTAATTCAATCAGGCATTGATACGAAAGGAGATGATATTGAAATGAAATTTGACTCAGAAAATATTGCATAGGTATATAGGATACCGTTTATTTTAGTTTCTGAATAATAATTAGAGTTAGTTATGCAAAAAACAACCACATTATCTAATATGCTCATATGAGATAGCAATTTTTTTGTATACTTAGTTCCAATTTGTAATTAGAATTTACTCAAATGAAGTCACAGATTCAGTATCTGCTAGTATAAAATTTGGAAGAACATTAAAAATGCTGCAGTACTACGAAATACTAAATTACTGACAGCCATCATTTTATTTATAACTTGTGAACACAAATTTGTTAGAATATTTCCAGAAGTGCACTTTTTGGACTGTAACCTGCAATATTCCACAGCATTTCATGATTTCATCCTCGTTAAAAGTCCCGTCTAGCTTAAAGAACTTCCAGATGAACTCTGCTATCATCTTTCTGTCGTTCTCCCACTTGTCCGTCCCTCGTCGATCCTGGCAGTGAGACTCCAGCTCTTGTAACTTGGCCCACAGCTTTTGATTGTGGTCGCGCTGGTACAGGCACCGCAGGACCGTGACGCATTGGTAATTCGGATGTGGAGTTCCGAATGTCGATATAGATATCTGGAAGCAAAAATTAAATGAGGCCATCAAAATTTGTCAGAAGTAACGAAAATATCTTGAATCATACATGTCGAAGAAGTAATTCCAAATGAGATTTCGAATTTTTTTATTAATATCTAATTGTTAGTTATGATAATGAGATACAATATTCAGGTAACTACTGGTCAGTGTTCTTCAAAATAATTTTTAACTTTTTATTTTAAGTAATTTTATGCTCCCGCCTCTTCTTAAGTTTGAAAAATACTTTACGATGTTATTTCCTCTAAGTTTAAAGATATCCAATAGCTTTGCTTTTTCTCTTAAAATCATTTCATCTATTAGTTGTATTCGTATTCCTTACCTTCTCCCCTTTCTGTTGTGTATAGTAACATTCAGGTTTGTGTTCTTCTTTAAGAGTACAGGCTTTTGAGCAGAACGGCCAACCGCATTTATCACAGATAACTGTTTTCCCTTCCTCCAAAAGTATGTAGCAACCAAGGCATACGGGAGGTGTTACCTGAAATACAGTTTTACATCATGGCACTTGTTTTTATTTATAAGAAAGAAAGGAATATTTTTATTCAAGTAAAATTAGATTTAAATACTTTTGAATACTCATTTTTTTTTCATTACTGCCGATTCAGAACACAATTTCATCCAGGAACTACGGGCCAGTAACTGTTGCTTTTTTTTTTTAATTAATTATATAAATAAAGAATTTGTGTGAACACAAACTACTAAATAGTATACAATTTGAGAAAAACCTAGCTGACGGCCCGCCTGATAGGCAGTGGTCATCATGCGTTCAAACAAATTCTTCCGCATCATTATATTAGTATATTATTATATATTTATTTAGTATATTATATATGTATTTATGTTTATGTATTATTATTTATTTTGCATTTTGTTTGATTCCTTTTATGTATTTACTGTGTCTGACTTACGCCATCTACCTTTCTCTCTGTACTTATCTATTCTTTATACCAGGTTGTTTGTAAGAGATTGCTTCTAGCGATAAGGCCGCCTTTTGTATATGCACATTCTGTATAAATACTCCTTGCATAAATCTCTACTTTGCACAATAAAGAGTTTATTTATTATTATTATTATTTATATATTACCTGTGCAGGTCCTGTAATAATTGACTTCTCTTTTAAAATAATAGCTCCAGCTTTAATATCCCGCGTAGCTTCCAAGTACCTGCCGAATTTGGAGTCTTCTTTCACTTTAGCCGGTACGCATGAGTGCTTGTGCTCCTTCCAGTGCTGCTTCTGATGCTCCTTGCTGCAGTAGTGCACCGCCTGGCAGCCGGAGCACTTGTGCTCGGCCGGAGACAGGCAGATCATGCACACCCCTTTCTCTTCCATCATCTGGAAAGTTAGGAAATTTGGTACCAAAATGTTTTTGTGTATAGAGTGAAATCGAAATCATTAGCGTCCTTTTGAGAGAAGAGTTTCTTGCCCGTTCTTCTCAGTTGAAATTGCATTCTGACTGGGCTGTAGAATTATTAAAAATAAGCACTTTTGAATAATAACTGTAATTAATAATAACAATTTTCTTTCGATTAAAAAAAGCCTTTTATTTTTTAGAACAGAATGTCAAACTAGATTACGCCATAGTGATTTATTGCTTGCTACCTTTAAGCAACGAGGTACACAAACTGTTTTAAGATTAACTATTGTGTAACTAAGTAAATTAAGTAATTAACTATCGTGGAAATATCAGTATTCGAGCACTAAATTATAAAATATAGCTACGATTCTAATTCTACTAATCCTAATAGGGTAATTAGATTTTTGTATTCATGATAAATAAGTATAACTCTCCATTCAAAGGTTGCCTGGAAGAGATCGCTCTTAGCGATAATAAGGTTGCCCATTGTTTTCTCATTGTGATTATATCTTGTAATTGTTTATATTTATAATAAGTTTACTATTGTAATCTTTTAGAGGAAACAATAAAGAGTATCTATCTGTCTATCTATCTATAACATATTTGTTAGAAATGGTTAAATCATTGTTTTTTACAAATCTACCAAATAATGGTCACAAACATTGTGTTAGAGAAGTAGCATTAACTATAATGGAAGTAAAAATAAGATTCTATGTATGCAATGTATAAATAACAGGCATCGAAAACTTAAAGAATATTAGAAATATCATGTATATATAGTATGAACTTTATAAAATAAAACATTTACGACTTACACAAGTGTTTATTCTATTAAAAGATGAATTTATTTCAAAATAGTTATCTTGTACATGAAAAAAGAAACACATAAAATCAGAATGAAATGTTACTCGAAAGAAAATCCGGGTCGCACTGTCGAATGCGCACGCGCAGTGTGGGCTTGTTAAAAATAAACATGCCGGCTCGAGGCGTCACCCGATGCCGAAGATTTCCTTCCTACTTCACGAATAATCGTGCCATAAGGCAAAGGAATAAAACAGAAAGGAATCCTAATCTAATCTTGGAGTCCCTGCGAATTTAAAATTACAGAAATATAATTATAGAATTTGAAAGATGGCTAGCAGAAAAGAAAAAGAAAATAATTGTTAGTCAACAGTTAAGGAAACCATAAAACTTTTTATGTAGCTAAGAGGGTCATTTGAAAAGCTCTTAACCTAACATGGTTAAAGTCATTGGTTTTTTTTTTATAACTACCCTCATTTTGTAGTTACATTATTTAGCAACAAGTATGCACAGTTTAGTTTATTCACAGTAATTCATTGTTCGTTTACACGTGATACCGTAAGTCAAGTCAGAGTTATTTTTGAAAATGGTTAAAATTGAACATCGTACAGTGATAAAATACCTGAATTTGAAAGGTTTAACTCCAAAAGCTATACATGAAGACATGTCTGCTACGTTGGGTGAGTCCGCTCCTTCGTATGCGACTGTTAAAAACTGGGTGGCAGAGTTTAAACGTGGTCGTAAGACCATTCAAGATGAGCCCCGTAGTCTCGTATTAGCGATCCGCCCCGACTTCGATGAAGTTTTTTTGTTAAATACATCCCATATCACTCATTAATGTGGCTTTAAACAGGAAAAAAAATAGAATAATTATATTTTGAGGTTATCCATTACAAAAAAAAAGGGATGTATTTCTTTTTTATAGTATTCTGTTTATGTAGCTTTATATTGTTTTTTTAATGGGTGAAAATGACATGGTAACCCCACCTGCGCTATCGGTATACACTGGCGGGGCACCAGTGAGAGATGATAGGTGTAAATGAAAAGGCAGGTCAGTTAGCCCATCGTGATGAATTCAACGATAAATTAGTCACGATAGTTTCCAGGGGGAACCGCGTGGAGGGCGACCTGATAGGGTACATTGATAGCAATGGGGACTAACCTCCCCATTACTAACAATCCTTTCCCCCAGGCTTTTTATTGTTATGCTTCATATGGAGTTTCGGATAAATTACTCATAGAATTCATGTAGTAAAGTAGTCACTTCGTTAGGTGGGACAGTAAAAATACAGTGTCACCATGTCTTTTCACCCCCATTGTAAGACACGACGAGAGGAACAAAACTATTATGCTAGTGCTAGAGGATAAAAACTCAAAGCCATATGCGAAGCCACGGAGACGAAATATTACCAAAATACTTATATCTCCAATATGGAAAGACACGTGCCCACCAGTGGGAAGCGAATGTATTGTTGGATCGTGATTAAATAAATAGAAAGCTGAATGCTCGTGATACTATTCAAAGTCATAAACGCTGATCATGATTGCTTGGGTACATCTGTCCCATTCGTGTTTCTACCGTGAAGCAGTTGTGTTCGCATGGCTGTGTTTTGGTTTATATGGTTTGGTGGGATATGGCGTGAATTTACTGGGTACGGAGGAATAACCCCTGAGTCCTCAGGAATGGCAACGCATGAGGGGTATCATGGGCGAAACAGTCTACTCTGTTATGTCCATTGTACTGCTCATGTCTATAGGCGACGATTACCACTTTCCATCAGGTGGGCTGTCAGCTTGTTTGCCATTCTAAGTTGTATAAAAAAAAAACTTGTTTTATTTTCAACCAACTTCAAAAAAGGAGTGTTTTCAACTTGTTTGATTTTTTTTTATTATTACCTCCTAAAAAGATTTTACAATACACTTGACAATTCATTTACATGTATAATAACTATTGTATGATTATATATTTATTATTTACTAGCGGCCCGTCCTGGCATCGCACGGGTAGACATTTTTCATATTTCCCTTCACTGCTCTGTTCCTATTGATCGTAGCGTGATGAAAAGTATACTATAACCTGCCCAGGAGTATGAAGAATAATTGTACCAAGTTTCGTTAAAATCCGTCGAGTAGTTTTTGTTTCTATAACGAACATACAGACAGACATACAAAAATTTTACTGATTGCATTTTTGCCATGAGTATCGATCACTAATAACCCCCTGATAGTTATTTTGGAAATATATTTCATGTACAGAATTGACCTCTCTACAGATTTATTATAAGTATAGATTAACCGACTTCAAAAAAACAGGATGTTATATGTTCGATTTTTGCACCATATATGTTATGCTTTATATATAAATCCTATAAATATGTACTTTCTCTTTTCAGATTCTTGAGTTTGACTAGACGAAATTTTTTCAAGGAATAATTCCGTCTGTATATATTTTCGTTATAACCTAATAATAGTATCGGGGGGAGGAATTGTTATTAATGGAGACTAAGGGCCCCACTGCTAGCAATATACCTAACCAGGTCGACCTCCCCGTGGTCCCCCCTGGGAGCCATCATGCTGAATTCCAAGTGTATTTTTTTTAATGTATAATGATGGAACGGTAACCTCGTCTGTGCTAACGGTATATACCGGCGGGGCACCAGTGAAGGGTGATAAGTGAGGATGAAGCAGGTCAGTTAGCCCATCGTGACGAATTCAACAAGAATTGTTCACGATGGTTTCCAGGGGGAACCACGTTGAGATCAACCTAATAGGGCAAATTGCTAGCAATGGGGCTGTCAAACTCCATTGCTAATAATCCCTTTCCCTCCTTCCAAGTGTATTCATCTTGATGGACTAGTTGACCTGTCTTTTCGTCGTCACCTATCATCCTTCACTGGTGCCCCGCGAGTGTATACCGTTAGCACAGACGAGGTTACCGTTCCATCATCATCCATTAAAAAAATATCTGTATTAGCATATAAATAAATAAATAAACTCTATTAGTTATAAATAAACCGATTAGAATTTTTTTTTTATTTGAAAGGATGTAATTACCTACAAATTGGTTCCATAGAAATATCAAAATCGATTCAAACCCCCTCATATTAATTTTTCTTTAATATTTCATATGTACAGATATTATTTAGTTACAATTTTATTATATTAAGAAGATAATGTTTCAGGGGGCACATTATACAGTATACACTGTTATGTCCATGGCACTGCTCATGTCTATAGGTGACGGTTACCACTTTCCATCAGGTGGGTCGTCAGCTTGTTTGCCATTCTAAGTTGTATAAAAAAAAAAACACTCGCAGACATATCAATGCGCATAATTCTATCATATCAATTAAACCTACGCTCAGATCCTGGAGCGGGCAATAGGCAATTCAGGGGTAGGTAGGGTCCATCTTGATCCCCGCTTAAATATGGTATAACACTATAATCCTCAGGACAGACCTTCCTAACACACGAGGATTATCCTAAGGGTGTCATGGAAGTCACACTAAGTTAATTTATAAGTGACGATTACCACTATCTATAAGGGAATCATTAGCCCAGTGAAATTAAGGATATGAAGAAAAAAAAATAAGAATATTTGTTTAAAAATCAAATTTATTATAAATACTATATTAGTTTACAAAAGTTAATATGTATATAAATATTAACAAAGCAGTAATCAATTATTGTCTTTTTAGTGGAAGGAATGAATAAGTAAATAGGTTAAGAGAGAAATATTCATTAGATTAAAACTTTGTAACCTTAGTCTGTGACGTTATTATTACAATGTGTTAATATGTACTTTTTTAATATTCGTAAAATTAAATCGAACGCAGATACTATACTTGGTCTATGAATTAAATACCATTCAGGGGCAAAGTAATATTTCTTTTCAATTTCTAGGTAAAGAAAGATATTCCGAGATAGAAAAAAAAATGTCTTTTTGGCGGGATTTTTTTATGACGTTAAGGAAGGATGTCATGTTCAAATTTGCCAACATCATAGATTGAGGATATTTGTACTTAGCATTCTCTTTCTACGGCCAACTTAGTCTTTTAATAACTGAACAGAGAAAACGTAATAACAAATAGACAAAGTCACTTTGTATTAGTTTAATATACCTATCTATACAAGAAGATACAAGATATATATTAGGAGACGATAAATATATACTTAATTTTTTTTATTAAAATACCTTTTTTACAACTTTGCTTACAAAATTACATGTCTTTAACGAAAGAAAAATTTTACATATTTACATAAAAAAAATACAATAACTTTTTTTATCCACATTGCTTATGTACATATTTAATTAATTGGTAAATTTTATTGCGATACCTTTTAAATGCAATGCAATGATTTTTAGTACTTGATGACAGGTATTTGTATGAGAGGTTATAATTTAATTGAATGTTCAGACTAAATTATATAGATAGAGCATCGAGTATCAAAAAGTTTTAAAATTTAGTTAGTTAAGTTGATGTTCAGCTAATTTTGATTAGATTTTTTTTTATATCAAAACCAAAGATTTTGGATATAATTCCTTGTTTTTAGATCTAATCGCGCTTTTATTTCAATGTTGCATGTAATTGGATTAAATATTTCCCAGTAAAGGTGATTTTTTTATATTTTGGTTTGAAAGTATTTTTTTCTATATTTCATTTTAACTTTATAATATCAGTTTTTCCCACATACTCGTATGTATGTATACATACACTTAAATGTATGTATGTATGGATACACATACATACATACATTTACGCACATAAATACAAAAACTGACTTGTTTTTGGCGAATCATTTATATAAAATCTATCTATATAAACTAAGATTACTGACTGATAGCAAATAAAACATTTATCTATTGTTTTCAATATAAATGACACGATAAATATGTACGGAATATCCAAAAATGCCTAAATTTTAAAATAATTTACATTTATAAATAATTTATTGTCTAATACATAGTTAACAAGTCATCTTATTATAATCAATACAATATATGCCAGGATGATACCTTCACACTTAACAACGCAAGCAATCTCAAACGTCCGTCATTCCATTTATAAGGTATTCTTTTAACAAATCAGTATTGCTCTCACGATATCTTCCCGATAATCTGTTCCCAAGTCCTTATTTTTTTCAAGGCGTCCCGTGCAGCCGACGCCATGAGACCCTCGGACGATTGCGCTGGTTCGAAGCCGAGGATCAACGCTGACTCCGTTAAGTATCCAACAATCTAAAATCATCATTAATGTGAGTATTAATTTTATGTATGTAACAGAATTTGTAACAAGAATATCTGTAGAAGGTAGAAGAGACGCAATGATCACGTAGTCTGAAGAACCATTCGAACTACCAGACCAATCATTTAAGTTGAAATATTGAGAATCCGGGGTTTGGGGTCGAGAAACATGCCTCTTGGAAAATTGATGCAGTGTAAGTTATTTATTCCATAATATTGCACTCACAATCTACTATTGAGCAAGTATCAGCAGCAAAAAATCGGGGATATTCTGCTGAAGACATGTCACATTATCTTGCCATTACAAAACCACAGATAACAAAAATCATGTGGCTTGATATTTTTGTTTTCGGATTTTCTTCTCTTATACTTATTTTTGTATTTTTTGTTCCCTTACTCACTTTTACTATAACCGTCAGATGAAAAGGCATGGGGATCACATGAACCTCTATAAGCTCCGACTTACAGGAGTCCAAGAGGCGGAAATATAATTATGATAGGATCCCGACAATGCATTGTTGTCAGTCAAATTGCAATCTAAATCCACAGATGGATTAAGTAGAATGAAGTCAGAAACTTCAGCTAGTTTGTATTTAGTTTATTATTTATTTTCTTATTATTTTTTTTTGAAGATTTTTATTTCCGAAAGCATGCAAAAACATTATTACCTCTTTGAGACGGTTTCGTAGATTTTCTTTTGATATAGCTTTGCGTTCGAAGTCTCTTGTGGTTAAAATCATTAAAGGAGCATGTAACTCGTACAATGTTACACCTGAAATCAATTAAAACAGCTTTAATTTATTTAATTTAGCGTATTGCGGATAGAGGTCATGATCGCCGTTCCGGTTCGTATTTGGCTTAAAGGATTTCTCTGGTAATCCAACGCGGAAATGCCGCAAATGTCATAGAGACCTTTGGGTCGGTCACGGATTATAAATATTACTTTGACTGATTATTAATTTAAATTATTTGTTGATTAAAACATTATTGTTATTCAAATTCTGAAAAAGATTTATATTTGTTTGCGTTCAAAATTATTGGTGGAGCGGGTTTGAGTTTTCTAAAATATAGGCGAATGTCTGGTTCATATGTCGTACTTGGAAACAAATGCTGCTTGTAAGACTGCGCTGACTTATGACTGATTATAAAATTTTACTTTATCTGTATCCTTATTTATATTATAAATGTGAAGATTAGTATTTTCGCTTTTTTGTTTATTCTCTTCTAGTAGTTTAATGCTTTAATCCTTAAGAAATTATATTTAGAATATTTAGCAATTTAATCTTTTTTGATAAAGATACTTCATCATTATCATATTAGCTTTTAACCGTTCCAACTTCTCTTGTTTTAACTTCTCTCCAAGGGGGAGGCTTATGCCCAGCAGTGCTCGTTGCTACGCTTGGCAGGCGGATTGGCAACCGCAGTCTTGGCAACCGTGAATTTACTGGGTACAGAGGAATAACACCTGAGTCCTCAGGAATGGCAACGCATGGGGGGTATCATGGGCGAAACATTATACTCTGTTATGTCCATGGTACTGCTCATGTCTATAGGCGACGGTTACCACTTTCCATCAGGTGGGCCGTCAGCTTGTTTGCTATTCTAAGTTATATAAAAAAAAAAGGTGTTAGAGATGTTTTAAGAGCGACGCTACTGCCCATCTCTCGCCCATGCCACATTAGGTACTTACTAATTGCAAACTGCTTTGCAGCAAAATATTTAAGTCTGAGGTAGTATATATCGTATATGTAAGTCTATATCGTATACGACTATGAACAAAGTCGTTAGGTATATGGCTTACCTCTTAATCTGGAATATCCCGGCTCAATGACATCGAAGACTTTCATCAGGTCTCTACATATTTCAATTTTCCTCTTGAGCTCGTTCTCCGGCATCTGATGGATCATATAGTCTGCCACCTTTCCATATAGCTGACTCAGCGAGTGTTTAGCGGACAGGCAGAGGTAGTGTGTTGTGTGGAGGACATTCCTGTACTTATGCAGGAAGTTCTCAAAGCCTGGAACGTCGTTGGCGTCTATTTGTTCAAATTCATCTGTTAACCTGGAAGATAAAATTAGGGGAGATGAAGCAAAGTTCAAAGCCATTTTGTTGTTTGTCTAAAGGTAGTCTAAGCAAGTTTGACATAAAAGGTACTACTAAAAAGTACCTATGAATGGGTACGTATAATTCCACAAGAAAGGAAACTAACGGCAGCCGAACATACAGCATCAAATTAGCCCGTCTATATCATCATAACCTTAAAAAAAGAGCATATCCCTTTTTAAACGGCCGGCAGCACTCCTGCTCTGGTGTTGCGGGTGATCATGGGTGGCGGGAGTCATTTACCATCAGGTAAGCCGCGTGCTCGTTTGCCTCCTGTGTTATAAAAAAATTCAAGGCCCAATACTATTTGTTCTAAACGAATGCAGCTTAGATAAATACTTTTAATACTTGAAGATGTCACGCGTACGAAGAGTTGAATGAACGCTATTGACAGGTCCATATACAGTAATACAGTTAAAGGATACCAATTTCATCAACAACAGAATATGTTTATCACAGATACAATATCTTTACCTCTTCAGTAGCATTTGTACGGCCGCCGCTGGCATCGTGTATGTGCATCCATTGTCGATACAATTCCACTGGGCGTCAGGATCTAGCGGTGCCGTAGACAGTACTCTCCCAGTGCACTTTGGGCATCTGAATGCGCTGGCATATGTTCCTAGTTCTGTGGGGTCCGAGCAACGTTTGCACGAGCAATCGAAGAACTTGGTCTGCTTTATATGTTCACGGCGTTTTAGTGTACCCTGAAAAAGAAAACATGTTTGTTAATAAATAAAGTATTGCAATTTAGTAGTTTCTTGGAAAAATAACAGAGGAGAAGGCTTCTTGAGTTAATCTTGTAGAAGTTCATGGTATCGTTGGACATCCGTGTGCTTGGTGCTGAGCGTGCACTCGTATGTAGCAGGGCTGGGGGCGGGGGGCAGCAGGCTACCTGCAGCGTGTACGCGTAGCACAGCGAGACGAGGTCGCCGGCGCGGTGCGGCACGGCGGCGCGGACGGTGAGCGGGCGGCGTGCGGCCCGCTCCGCGTCGGTGTGCGTGGTGCTGGGCGTGCACGCGTGCGCCAGCAGGTGCGCATCGCCGTACAGCGCGCGGGCGTTGGCTCCGCTGCCACCCACCTCGAACGCGTTCACCTGTCAGATACGATGGAAAACAATATTAGTAGCAGACATGACACGTGAAAAAGATTGTGATTATGTTCTGTAGTTGGTAGCTAACTTAGTTGAATTTAACCCACCACGACTCAACCAGCAAGAAATAACCTTGCGCGTTCCTGCAAATTAATTTACTGTAGGTCCGCAATTCGAAAACACATCCATTGTCATCTCCAAAAGTATTTGGATCCTTGGTGTCGACATCTCCAGCACTGTGGAGTTACGAGGTCATCTAGACCATAGATCATCTGGCACCCAAAAGCTCGGGGCTTAAGTTGTAAGTCCGATCCCTCATAGGGTACTGCTCTCATCTGTGGGCACCTCGACACCAACTTGATTCTCTTGACTCAGTTTATTTTTTTGTGAAACAATGTAATTATTGGATATTTTAAATAATTGTAGAAATTTATTAGGTCTGGTTGGTCATCTATTGCCTTATTATTTCTACAGCCAATAAACTTGCTTGTATGCTGTATTTTGACGCGAACTCTACCCCATACTTTATTTGGCGCGAATTAGAAAAATGTTGTGTCTATATAACAAATATAAATCAAATCTATTCGGCAGTTTAAATTAAGAAACATGCGAACATCTTTACAATCTTTCGCATTATAATATGCGAAACATTAGTTGGATCTCAACTTTAAACACTTGCATTTATGCATATATGCACGTATTTTAAAATAAATGCCCATGTGGCATTGCGCCAATAATAAAACTTCGTTGCCTTGCTAGATTGCAATATAATGTATTTTGATCAAGCTTAGCGTATCCATCGGCTAGTTGTGATACTGAAAAATATTTATTTACATCTTTATGCGCTGTGTTCACATTAAGATTGTTTAATATGAACTTTGAGATAGTATTTCTCGATGTATCTAATTTTGTTTCCTGTTTTCGTATATACGAGAATTTAGTATAAATAAATAGATACGATCTGTTTCCGTCTTTATTTTCTTTAGAATAATTACTTATTATTAATTTCAAATTGAAATTTTGAGTACAATTTTCCCACTGCTTTTGCTGGATCAGTGATTTTTGTCAATGCATTGTGTACTGTTTAAACGTCTGATGAGTTGCCAGTATAGGTACCACCTACCCAATCAAATCTCTACCCAAGCTACTTCACAGTAAAAATAGATAAATTAATATTAATAGATAGACTATGTATTGTCTACCTGCCTCCCATGAAATGCCTAGCTTGGAACAATGTGGTCAGTTTTTATTTCTAATATATATATATATATATATATATATATATATATATATATATATATATATATATATATATATATATATATATATATATATATATATATGTGTGTGTGTGTGTGTATGTATGTATGTATATATACCTACACTATCCAGGTATTTCTAATCCATATTTAGATCTGATATCAACAAATAATCAACGATGAATTTAATGGTAAAGAATTTGCATTTATTGATTTTGAACGTATACAAATATATTTCATGAATTTCGCTTAATTAGTTTCGGTTTAAGGATCCGAACTTATAAAAAAAATATTGCAATTTAAACGAATGGTAGTTTCTTACCTCTAATATGCCACAAACGTTGTGTATCTCTTCTTCGTCAAACTTCAGATTCCATTTCTTTATTCTTCTCACGACATGCCTGTCGTTCATGGGGAAGATATCGCCCCGGGCACGTCTCAACTCGTTGTGGGGTTCCATTGCACAAATTACTGACCATTTCTCTGGATCTGCCTCCTTTAGAAGCAGACATCTGGAATATTATATTTGTTAGGTGTAAGTTTTTTTTTTCTTTTATACAACTTAGAATGGCAAACAAGCTGACTGCCCACCTAATGGAAAGTGGTAACCGTCGCCTATAGACATGAGCAGTACCATGGACATAACAGAGTATACTGTTATTCCTCTGTACCCAGTAAATTCACGCCATATCCTACACTTCAAACCGAAACACAGCTATGCAAACACAACTGCTTCACGGTTGAAACACGAATGGGATAGAGGTACCCAAGCAATTGACTTTTGTACAAAGTCTCCCTCTGAAATTTTATCGGAGTTTAACGCACAAGTTTTAAAGGTAGGCCAGTATTGGGTTCACTACCACTAATGTCTAATGATGACAACACAGACGTTTGCAAGTGTTATACGTTTCTGTGAAAAATAAAAAAATAGCTAAAATTACAAAAAAAAAAGGTTCTTAATTCGATTATTAAAGATTTTGTAGAAACGCTACATCTCTCTTTAGTACCAATACCATTTCTAATGAGTCTTACAGTACATTCTATGATATCCATAGCGCTATTCATGTCTATTGGTAAGAGTTGCTATTTTCCACTAGGTGAACCTTCAGCTTGTTTACGATTCTATGTTGCATATAAAGAGTTACATTAATTATTATACCATACCAGTCGTTAAAGATCTACTCCTGAATATAGGTTTTCACCATAGGGGAACGTTTTGCCAGCAATTGCCACGCTTGGCGGGAGGGTTGGCACCCGCAATTAGGATTTGATGATGTTTTAAGAGGGTCGCTGCTGCCCTCTATCATTAAGTTCCTTTAGTCATTCGTAGTAATTCTTACGACAGCCATAGGTAAGAAAGGGATAGTCTATTCTATGCTGGGACAACATTGTTAATTATTACAGTATATTACTGCAGCGGCCAGCAACTGAGGCATTGATGGACGAACGTGCAAATGTGGGTCGAGGCACAGCCGAGGCACACATACGTAAGTCCAACAATGCCTAGTTGTGGCCAAGGCTTGTATAGTACTTTTCTCAAACAATGCGCGGAAATCAAATACTCAATTTTACTTTTTAAGTTCAATGACGAATAATAAACAATAATAATTTTTCACGCGCCATATTGTTTTTTTTTCAATAAACAGGTTTCTATTTGCAAACCAGTTCGAAATTTAAATAAAACCTTTTATTAGTTACCTCCTTGGTAGCTATGTTTCGAAATAAAAGGTCATTCCATTTTTAAATTACAGGACAGATGTGAGTTTTCATAGTAATTTATCTGGCCGCAAAACACGACAGATATGGATTTTCATACAACTTTTGCCGGCCGCTGCCCGCATGTATCTCAGGCCAGTACGGCAATTTTGATTTATCTCGAAGAAGATTGTCAAAATAATGCTTCCATTTCCAAGCATGTTTGAGAAAAATTAATTAATCTCTCCAAAATCGCAGACAGTTACTAATGCGATGGAATTGATTTCTCTTGAAATAATTGGAAATTATTTCAAATGGGAAAAATCTATCATTAATAAATTAATTGTGTATAAGTGTGCTAATGTTTATGCACTTAACGAACTATTGGTACCATTTATTCTAAAAAAATCACATACCTCAATGGCATTAAAGCTTGATAAGAATCTTTCAGGTCAACAAGATCAGAGTAGTCTGGTGGCGCAGTCTTCAGCGTGTCGCACTCATACTTGGAGTGTCCGGTGTACTGACCCTGGCCGGGGCACGAGCCACTGCACATTGGCCATTTGCAGCCGCGACATCTGTAAACAGTTCAGCAACTATCTTGGAGTATTGACTATCACATAATTGATTAGATTGATGCATTTTATGATAATATGGTATTACTGAGTACTAAGTATTTAGAACAAGATCTAGAATTCATCAGGTGTAACATGGAACAACTTCCTATCAGGTGGAAAGTTCAGCTTTTTTGCCAATTTCCTTAAAAAGTAGCTAAGAAATGGCTCAAAGGATAAGTCAACGAAAGAAATAATTGCCTTATTTCTTTCCTTGACCTCCTACTATCCTTTGTGAACAAGTCAACGATATAAAATTATTTGCTAATTGCAAATAAAGAATGATATCTTTTCTTTGTTTATTTATATAGAATGTGTATTTCTTAGTTTCGTATAACTTTTAAGGTTGAGATTTATATAAATATACGATAGATATATGCAATATACAAGTACGTCTGTATATTCGGTTCGGTTAAGTGGCTATAAAATATTTAATAATAATAATATAATACATATAGACGAGACGCTGTGACCCAAAGTTCTGTACGCCCCTTGAAAGGAGACTTCTGAATTAAGTGGAAACAATTGTTGGAAACGACAAACACAGTAAGTTCATAAAATTCCTCATTCTGCATGTAGGTATGTTGGTAAATATTAAAAAGTTTTTTTTTTTACAACACAAGAAGCTAACGAGCATGCGGCTCACCTGATGGTAAGTGACTACTGCCGCCCATGATCACTTACAATATACTAAAGGCATTGCAGGTGTGCTGCTGGCCCTTTTAAAAAGGACCTCTTTTCGTAAAGGTTATGATGTCGTATCTGTTCGGAAATACTGCCGTAGAAAGTTGATTCCAAGGAGTGATTGTGCGTGGAAGATAATGCCTTGAAAAACGCACGGTGGAACACCGCCACTCGTTTAGATGGTTGGGATGAAACTTTAATTTGTGGGCGGATTGTATGGTGGTAAAAGCATTTTAATAATTCATTTGGTATACCTAACACTCACTTAAAGAGACTACTTTCATCCAGTTCCCTGTAGCATCCGAGACAGATGAGCCCACAGCCGGTGCACGGCCCCACCGCCAGCGCGGGGGCCTCGATGATCACCTCACCAGCCCTGATGTCACGAGCCGCCACCACGTACCTGGAATTCAATATTATCATCACATTGGGTGAGATATTGTGTAACCCAGGTGCTTGTAAGTATCATACCACTGTCTACCTACTTCTGTCGGAAACAGCAATGCATTCGTTGTGTTTCAATCTAAAGGATAGGATGAGGTACAATTTCTAACATATTTTTTATGCAAATTAGAATGGCAAACAAGCTGACGGCCCACCTGATGGAAAATGATAACCGTCGCCTATAGACATGAGCAGTACCATGGACATAACAGAGTATACTGTTTCGCCCATGATACCCCCCATGCGTTGCCATTCCTGAGGACTCAGGTGTTATTTCTCTGTACCCTGTAAATTCAAGCACAGCTCAACTGATCGTTATGAAATTTGGTATAAACATAGTATTTAGAATGGAGAAGAATATATTATTATCATGGTAGTACGGACGAAGTCACGAATAATAAATAATAGAAGATTGTTTTTAATATGAATATATGTAATTAATATGTAGTTTTGTCTTTTTAAGATTTTTAATAATAAAAAAAATAATTTTAATTGAAATTCTAAACTGATTTTGATAAAATGTCTATGGGATCAATCTGTGGGTACATATATCCTTTTTGATAAAAAAAAGAATTTTCCAAATGGATTTGCAACTGACCACGTTATGAAGGTGTAAAATTAACAAAAAAATACTTCTTGAAGTCAATAGGTAATGAATAATTCTTTTTGAAGTCGAATAAAAATCAGCATAAGTATAAATATATGTGGCAATAGGTACTTATCCGAATATCTACAATCTATCTGGCGAGTCTATCTGAGCGCCCGTGTAAAGCCACTAGTTTATTTAAATAAAATACATTATTTTGTTATAAAAATTCACGTTATAATCATTAATTAAATGTCCAAAGACATTCTTTCAGTTTATATTGTTTTTATTACAAAAAAAAAAAACTCTATTCAAAAATATGTATTTCGAAGTCTCACCTGCCCATCACAACAGAATGTTTCACTTCATAACAACAGTCCTTCTCCGCCGGCGTGGCCGACTGACCTTCCTCACTGTCAGCCACGTTATGTTGGCCATCAGCATCGATGATGTTCTCTTTATTCTTGCCATCAGCTTTGCCTCTCTTCTTTTGCTTCAAACAGAAGATATCTCGTTAACACAACTAATAAATATGTTCAGAAATAAATTATTGGACTATATATCTGCAATTTAAAGATATAGCAAGCAGTAAAGATGGATTTTTTTTAAATTTAACTCCTAAACCTACACAAAATAAACGACGGAACATTAAATTGGGAGTCGATAGAGAAAACGGGAGACGACTGTCAGACAGTTTTTTTTTCCTAAACACAAACACGTCCACTGTACCACCGGAAAACTTGGACTGGGTGACGTATGGGAGTTATGAATGAGTGTTTAGTATGGTAGGCGGCGTCTAGGTATATTTCTGTTCGCCACTTGACCGTGCCAATGGATCGATCTAAAAATCCGTATCATAACGGTTGATTTATATGGCCGTGATATTGGTGGGTTGAGGTTAGAATACAATGGCTCCTCTCTGTTAAACTAGCTTATTTCTTCATGTCAAATGAAATGCCTTTATTATTTTACCAAAGGATGATTCCGTATATGCAAACGCAACATAGGACGACCTCCTACTAAATAGAGTGACGACCTTAAATGCATTGCAGGAAGTCAGTGGTTGCAAGTTTTTCAGGACCGTTCCTTATGGCAGTCTATGGGGGATGCTTTTTTTCAATATTGGACAGATAATATGAGATGATGGTGATGATTTACCAAAGAAAGACTTTGTACATTAGCCGTTTGCTTGGATACCTCTATTCCATTGGGGGAAAAGGGATTGTTAGTAATGGAGACTGAGCAATATACCCAACCAGGTCGACCTCCTTGCGGTTCCCACTGGAAACTATCATGGTTAATTCCTGATGAATTCATCATGATGGGCTAACTGGCCTGTTTTCTTTCTCATCTATCACCCTTCACTGGTGCTCCGCTAGCGTATCCCGTTAGCGCAGGCGGGGTTACCATACCATTTTCACCTATAAAAAAAAACCTCTATTCCATTCGTATTTCTATCGTATGAAACAGTTGTGTTTACATGATTGCGTTTCGGTTTGAAGGGTGGGATATGGAACTGAAATTATAGGGTACAGAGGCATAACATCTTAGCCCTCAGAAATGGTAACGCATGAGAGGTATCACAATATACTCTGTTATGTTCATGGTACTGTTCATGCCTATAGCTGACCCTTACCATCATTACTGTGGGTCGTCGGCTTGTTTGCCATTCTAAGTTTTTGTCATTTTTGTGCATTACAGATTTTTGTATTTTACGCACGAAAAATTATTAATTCACTCTTGCACCACCTACCCACTTTTATCTGTTCTCCTTTAACCAAAGGTTGTCTGTAAGAGATTACCCTAGCCATAAGACCGATATTTGTACCTTTATGTGTATATTTCAATCTGTATTTATATTACTATATTTCACTTGAATTATTCACTTGTCATTGTATATTGTTATTTATGGTGCAATAAAGAGTTAAATAAATAAAAATAAATAAATAAGTTGCATAAAAAATGTAGGTTATTAAAAGTTTTATAATAAGTTATAGAGAGTTTAAAGCTTAGAAAGTGCACAGAAACTGCATGGAGGTATCATTTCTTCTTTTAATATATCGCATTTGTAATATATGATAAACAATGTGGGTGAATATGGAAATTATTCCAAGTTTAAGGCAAAGGAATGTCGTACACGTGACGTTTTATTATAAAAAAAAAGTAAAAAAAAAAACAAAAATATTTATTAATAAATACTCCATGAATTTCGCCATTTAAGCCGGTCTCAAAGGTTATTTTTATTGCGAAATTTACCTTCGTATTTTGATGATATTGTTGCAGTTTTTCATTGCCTGAAAACATAAATAAAATGACGTTTTCTAAAAATGAAACCTAGCTAGATTGATTAATCGCCTCCAAAACTCTCTGCGTACTAAATTTCATGAAAATCATTGGTGATACGGATTATGTATATAAAAGAATTGCTCGTTTAATAGTATTATATATCAATGTGTGTTCAAAATTCCACCAAACGCGACTGACCTATTTTTTTTTTTTATAATTTTGTTTCCATCAAGGTTTCCACAGTATGATCATGATTTATTATTAAACATTATAACATCAGTCATGGACATGCCCTTACATAATATGGACGGCGGTGCGCGATGTGCCTACACGCATTAGCACTCGAGATTATCGGCCTAATAGACAGTTTCTAAAGAGCTCACATATCATTTATGTGCGTAAATCACATTTATGGTATTTGCCTCTATTTATAGAGCATTCCTAAAATATTCTACGAAATGCTAACAATATAATATATATAAATAAAATATAAGAAGGCTAGACTATGGAACTCTCTTCCACTGCATATTCGTGAAATTCAATCGCTGAATATATTCAAGAGCAGATTAAAAGAGCATCTTCTGTCCTCATAAACTTATTATATCTATGTATGTATATATATGTACGTATTTTGTATGTGAAAAGATATTTTATGTTTATGTATATATGTATATGTATTATTGTATACAGATATGTATGTATTTTGATTTTAATTATATGAGTTACTTTGTATATATGTTTATTATTTTTTAATAGAAACATCTATAACCTTTCCTTCTATTATTGTACGCATACTGCCCGCTAGTAATTAATGCTCCTCTCCACTCAGGGTTTGCTGGAAGAGAACTCTTACAGAGTTAAGCTCGCCTGTTGTACATCTTTATTTTATATATATTATATGTTGTAATTTTTTGTGTACAATAAAGAATAAATAAATAAAATTAGCTTAGCATTTGAAAACTGTAAAAATTTGGCTTTCACGTTCAAATCAATATTTTTATTATGGTGAATACCTTTTTTATTTTATTGGCCACAACAGAATATCAGTGTTTTGCTCTTTTGAGGGCAAATCAATAAACTGAGTTGTAACCATTTTGTGTTACTATGGCACGCGCATGAAGGAAAGGAAAGAAAGGAAATTGTTGGTTTATGGTATATATTTTGTTTTTTGTTTTTGTTTTGTTGCTTTTTTATTTTCATTCTTTTATCTCTTTTACTGTGTATTATGTGTATGTCTGTATTATAATTTGTGTGCTGTAAGTAATGTAAATAAATTATCTATCTATCAATTTATCTATTTGTGGCGAATTTAAATTTAAAATGAAATGATAAAATGGAGCAAAAGGGGACGTACTGTAACACTGTTTTGGTTCTTTTTTTTTTTTTATACAACTTAGAATGGCAAACAAGCTGACGGCCCACCTGATGGAAAGTGGTAACCGTCGCCTATAGACATGAGCAGTACCATGAACATAACAGAGTATACTGTTTCGCCCATGATACCCCTCATGCGTTGCCATTCCTGAGGACTCAGGTGTTATTCCTCTGTACCCAGTAAATTTACGCCATATCCCACCCTTCAAACTGAAACACAGCCATGCAAACACAACTGCTTCACGGTTGAAACACGAATGGGACAGAGGTACCCAAGCAATCAACTTTTGTACAAAGTCTCCCTCTGGTTCTATAATTCAATTAACATGATGTTTGTTGTATGGTAGAGAAGAGCGTGTGCGTGTGTGCGAGCATGCGTGCTTGCGTATGTACGAGTGCACGTGTATCCGAATGTACGTGTGTGCGTGGGTGTGTGCATGCATGCACTCTCTTTCAATTTTTATAAATTTCTATTTTAATTCTGCCATTCTTTTTTTTTTTAATTTTCTTTCTCTCTGTATTGTGTTCTTATCAATATTTCAGCTAATTGCCGTCCACTGCTGTTCTGTTTAATACATTACATCATTCAGCTACCGTCCTCGGACAACAAAAAGAAATCATATTGTTTAGACCATTTTTGGGTACAATATGTATGCATTAAAAAAATATTTAAGTCTTTTTCAGTTAAAAGTATATTTCAATAAAGATAATTCCACCAACAATCTCTGACATCAAAAGTATTTAAATATATCTAATAATTTGTAGTAGTAATTGCTGATATTAATTTAGGGCAAGTAATCGAATACTTACTATCTGAAAGAGAAGAGATGTATCTCATAAGACGAATTGTGAAAATTAACAAACAAAGAGAAGTGTGTAAGGCAAGGTAAATATAATAGGCACTTAGCATTGAAATTTTTCATCATAGCACGTCATGCGACATTTTTTTTATACAACCTAGAATGGTAAACAAACTGACGGCCCATGTGATGGAAAGTGGTAACTGTCGCTTATAGACATGAGCAGTACCATGGACATAATAGAGTATACTATTTCGCCCATGATAAACAACCCCCTTCCAAACGTTGCTATTCCTGAGGAGTCAGGTGTTATTCCTCTGTACCCTGTAAATTCACTGCCATATCCCACCCTTCAAACTGAAACACGGCCCTGCTGACACAACTGCTTCACGGTTGAAACATGAATGGGACAGAGGTGCCCAAGCAAACGATTTTTGTACAAAGTCTCCCTCTGGTAATAGATGAGACAAGCTTCTTATTATTAAGGGTTTGCTAGTAATGGGTTCTAATAGTACCATTGCCATCAGGTCGACCTCCACGCGGTTCTCCCTGGAAATCACCGTGGTTATTTTTTGTTGAATTCGTCACGATGAGCTAACTGACCTACTCTTTTATTCTTACCTATCCTTGTTCACTGGTGCCCCGCTAGTGTATACCATTAGTGCAGGCGAGGTTACCATTGTATTATCATTCATTAAAAGAAAAACCTATTTGTACGTCCTGTAACCTGTTTTACCGTACATGGATGTAGTGGCTGGTCCATTCTTATGGTGTGATATCGGAAAGGAGAAGAAATTACATAGTAAGCGATGCAAATTATTCCTAACAATATGGATGTGAAAGTTTCTTTCTTACCACCCTAAGGGCTTAACCAATGACATTGAAGTTTGATGTATACGTAGCATATGGGATGAAGAAGTACGTAGTCTACTTTTTACCCAAATCGCGCGGACGAAGTCGTGGGTAAAAGCTTGTAATAAAAATTGGAAATAGCAAATGGAAATTGACACTGACTAGACTAGTACCCTTATTT